AGCAATCCTCTCGCACCCGCAAACCCACGCAGGGTACGGTAATCAGAGGTGCGGTGGCGAGCGTATTCCTAACGCTGTACCTCACATTTGGTAATCAATCAATCTGCAGTTATTTATTCAAAAGTTATTTTGTAAACATTAGTTCGAAAAGTAAACTGACAGATTCAAACAGATTTTTAACTGGATGCGGGAGGGAAAATACCACAATGCTTGCTTGATATGTGGCAAGTTGTGTCGGTGACATAGAATATAATTTAAAGCGACATTTTAGAATCTAATGAGCATTTTCCAGAAGTTAAGATTTTGCTTCGAAAGTCTTATAGATGTTCAGAAGCACTTATACATTTGCGAAAGCACTTTTTCTGTTTTGAAGAGTTTGAAATCTGGCTAACTACTCCCATATCCAACATGGACTGGTAACTAAACAAGAGGCCGTGGTTCGCCATATTATTGAGCCGTCTTATACACCCCGCTATATATATATATATATATATATATATATATATTATATATATATACATATATATATGTAAAACACCAAAGTTACCCCAGCCCACCCTTGTTGCATTTTGTTTTAAAATACCATTATCGGGAATTATGATTATCGTCAGACATAGGTAGATTCCGGTTTTATTTTAAGTTTTATTTTTCCCCCGGTAGAATTTTCTCAAAATTTGATATTTGTAAGATAATTCACTATATAATATAATAAGCAATTTTCGTGATGTACAAATTAATAGAAAAGTTTGAATTCCTTGTTGCATTTTGTCATAAAATATCATTGTCGGGAAATAGGATTATCTTTATACATAGGTAGATTTTTTTTTTTATTTCAAAGTCTTTCCCCCCGGTAGAATTTTCGAATTTTTTGTTATTTGTTGGATAATCGAATATATAATGTAATAAGTCGATTTCATGTCGTACAAAGTATTAGAAGTGCCGAAATCAGACTTCAAAGCCATCAAGACAATGGATCTCTTTGGGTAAATGTTACTTAATTTGCTTTTGAATTTGCTTGTTCAATCTTTATTTTAAAAGATGTATTTGTGCAAATCAGATTCGATTTGTTCATACCTCATTCTTATTGATGGAAATGAATAGGTTTGATATTTCACTTAGATATAATTTTTTGTTTGTTGTGAAACCTTCCTGTGAATTCATGCTTGACCACCTATATATCTGGCAACAGTGATTAGAGATATCATTGTTCAGCTGATTTCGATCCATTTTCCCGGCAATTGTGGCTATTTTGTGCCATCAATTGCCGGACTTTGAGAGGTTCTGGCGCTGAGTTAAATATGGATATATGTAATTTAGTAATCTGTGAACGTTTAGGATGCCTTAACTTACGGTGAAACATTGTCAGAACGTCAGCCCACACTCGTGTGACGCCAGCCCACACTCGTGTGACGCTCGCCCACACTCGTTTTTGTCAGGCCATACTAGGGGGACAACACTAAAAGGCTGAAGGAAGAAACGGATGAAGTGGAAGGAAAACGGAAGTTGAAGTGTTCCCAAAGGTGAAAAATTAAAAAACACTAAAAGGCTGAACACTAAAAGGAAGAAGTGGATGAAATTTCTTCCGACGGGTAGTTAGGTGGCTGAAGTCACTAAAAAGCTGAACACTAAAAGGAAGAGGTGGATGAAATATTTTCCGACGAATAATGAGGTGGTTGAAGTCACTAAAAAGCTGAACACTAAAGGGAAGAAGTGGATGAAATTTCTTCCGACGAATAATGAGGTGGTTGAAGTCACTAAAAAGCTGAACACTAAAAAGAAGAAGTGGATGAAATTTCTTCCGACGAATAATGAGGTGGTTGAAGTCACTAAAAAGCTGAACACTAAAAGGAAGAAGTGGATGAAATTTCCGCGGAACACCGGTTGAAAATCAATGATCTATAGCAGTGGCCGGCAACCTTTTTTCAGTAACGGACCGGTAAAGCCTGACCAAAATTTTGGCGGACCACCTTTATACAAACGAACTAATCTAATGTAATAAATAATATGCGTTAGAAAATGTATGTTGACAATACATTCAAAAACGAAGGTGATACTATTCACGTAACGTATTTCTTACGTTAAACCCACTTCGATCTTTCGTTTTTGTAATTGCCATTTTAAAAACCCAAACCTCACATGAAGATAACAATGGGCATTGTACGTTTTCATGTCACCTTTCTGCGGACCGGTAGTGACCTTTCCGCCAGACCGGCGATGGGCGCGGCCCGGTGGTTGCCGACTACTGATCTATAGTATATGAAGGAATTTGCATACAATAAACAATGGAATAACTGTTATCTACAACATGACTATATTACCATGCATTTCATGTTTGCAGATTACTGCGATATATTTTTATATACCATGAGTTACGTTATCAGAAGTAAATTAATACGGCAAGCATTTAAAATAGTGCTATCGGTCATAGATTTGAACATTTTGCGCAACACAAAATCATCCTAGTAAAAGTCCATACTTTTAAATACCAACCATTATCCAAATTATTTGCCAAAAAGCGGGATAAAAGTATAAATTATATTTCTGACTTGCGACAATTTTTTCGTGAGTACGTAAATTACGAATGGATTTTTTTTATATTCGGGCACTTCAATGTCCGCATATATATCTTTTATTATTTTATAAATACGAAATATGTATCAAGAATTAATTATAATCGGGCAGTTTACCACACATTTTAAGTCCATGGATCGCCGTTGTATTTTGTAAAATACGAAAATAGGAATCAATTTAATAATAATTGCCGTGATTAATAATAGATTGCCGTGATATTGTGCCCGAATGATAATTTATTTTTGATTTCCGTATTTCATTCCTTGAACTTAATATCTGTTTTTATAAATTTTGCAAGCAGTTCACGCACGAAGACTTTGAATAATTATGTATTAGTCAAATCGAAGTCCTGTTAGACCAGCTGGTTTCTCAACCAATGGGCCATGGGCCACTGGTAAGCCTCAGAGGCATTTTGAGGTGCGGCCACAAACATATTATAAATTACAAGGTTTGTTGATCTAGAACAGCTAGATATGAAAAATATATATATATTAATTTGTTTGCACATTACATCAAAATTTAAAAAGAATATAACGAAGGAATGTCATGGCCTTCAATTCGCCCAGGCTCGAACTGAGCATAACATATAAAAAAATTAACAAAAAACGAAATCCACGAGGACATTGTCTCATAAATACGAACAGAACAAACATAAATTACCCAATTCCTAATATATTAAATTTTCAAGTATTCCTCACTATCCATCGGAAGAAATTTCATCCACTTCTTCCTTTTAGTGTTCATCTTTTTAGTGACTTCAACCACCTCATTATTCGTCGGAAGAAATTTCATCCACTTCTTCCTTTAGTTTTCAGCTTTTAGTGACTTCAGCCTAACTACCCGTCGGAAGAAATTTCATCCACTTCTTCTTTTTAGTGTTCAGCTTTTTAGTGACTTCAACCACCTCATTATTCGTCGGAAGAAATTTCATCCACTTCTTCTTTTTAGTGTTCAGCTTTTTAGTGACTTCAACCACCTCATTATTCGTCGGAAGAAATTTCATCCACTCCTCTTCCTTTTAGTTTTCAGCTTTTTAGTGACTTCAACCACCTCATTATTCGTCGGAAGAAATTTCATCCACCTATTCCTTTTAGTGTTCAGCTTTTTAGTGACTTCAGCCACCTAACTACCCGTCGGAAGAAATTTCATCCACTTCTTCCTTTTAGTGTTCAGCCTTTTAGTGTTTTTTAATTTTTCACCTTTGGGAACATTATCTTTATACATAGGTAGATTCTTTTTTTTATTTCAAAGTCTTTCCCCCCGGTACAATTTTCGAATTTTTTGTTATTTGTTGGATAATCGAATATATAATGTAATAAGTCGATTTCATGTCGTACAAAGTATTAGAAGTGCCGAAATCAGACTTCAAAGCCATCAAGACAATGTATCTCTTTGGGTAAATGTTACTTAATTTGCTTTTGAATTTGCTTGTTCAATCTTTATTTTAAAAGATGTATTTGTGCAAATCAGATTCGATTTGTTCATACCTCATTCTTATTGATGGAAATGAATAGGTTTGATATTTCACTTAGATATAATTTTTTGTTTGTTGTGAAACCTTCCTGTGAATTCATGCTTGACCACCTATATATCTGGCAACAGTGATTAGAGATATCATTGTTCAGCTGATTTCGATCCATTTTCCTATAGTGGTGGTAGCATAAAAGTCATATTGGGGATGGCAGAATAGGGATGGCGAAATACGGTCGAAAGGTGGCAGATTAGGGATGGCGAAATAGGGACGAAAAGTCAAATTGGGGATGGCGAAATGCGGTCGAAGCGTGGCAGATTAGGGATGGCGAAATGCGGTCGAATGGTGGCAGATTAGGGATGGCAAAATGCGGTCGAAGCGTGGTGGCAGATTAGGGATGGCAAAATGCGGTCGAAGCGTAGTGGCAGATTAGGGATGGCAAAATGCGGTCGAATTGTGGAGCAGATAGGGATGGCGACGTTTGAGAAAGTGAGAAGGGCATGGTGTCAGTGTGAGGGCATGGTGTCAGTGTTACCGTACCGTACATCGGTACCGTACGAACATTTTAAGGTTCTTAAGTTTAGCATGTAGCCTGAATGTACCTGCATATGCCAGGATACGGTAATACAGTAATAGGTACCGTACCGGTACCTACCGGTACGTACCGTAGTGAGTACGGTACCGGTACCGGTATGTGGCCCATTACATCATTAATCTGTTAATGCTAATCCAGTCCTTGGCGGCATGGGCAGCGTAGAGAATGGCAGTAGACAGAAAATAAGAGATTTAACATTCTTCTGGTTCAAATTAGGCTACTCTGGCAATTGTTTTGGTGGTAATTACAAGGACAGACCGGTACCGTACCAAGACTTGGACTTTTAATTAATATGGTAACGGTAGACTACCGGTACGGTACCGTATCATTGGACTACGGTACGGTATGCCTTCGCGGTGGAATTATTGTGTGGCAAGATGTAGGCACGAACACGGTATGTCAAATTGGGACTGGTAACATTGCAGCATTGTGTGGAGCAAGCGATAAACTAAAAAGTGAAACTGCTAAAGCCATTTGACTGTTTGAGTGAACTCCGCAGACCTAAGCAAAAAGTTAATATGCATTCTAACCATTTGATATATTTAATTGCTGAATTGTCTAACTTCAAATTAGCAGTGGTGTGGCTCATCATGCTAAGCCTGTGAGCGGAATAAGCTTGGCATCGCACCTCTTATTACTTACACTATGTCAGTCTGTGTAGGTTCGCAGGGTAAATGTGGAGATTGTTAGGAATACGCTCGTCACCCCATGGTTATGTGCGAGAGGATTACTGGACTCCTCGTCGCAGTTGGGTGGTTCACATAACTGCTGGTCGGTTACAGCTTCCTCCACCATCTGGTCCATTATCTCTCTCCTGGGATAGATATGTAGATCCTATCGTTAATCCGAGCGAGACACATGTCATGTCAATTAACTGTAGTAAAAGCCCCGAACTTCCAATTCCATTATAAAATTTGATCGTAAATGACATTAAGTCTATAATGACTACTTGAAACTCTGTCAAGTATTTTGATATAATTTCAGATATGAAGATTAAGGTTATCTAGTCTTTAGGGATATTGCTGCAATGACTGAAGTGAGTCTATTTGTGCCAGAAAGGGGATCAAGAACTTTATAGTTTGCACTTTCAACAAGAGAGCGATGCTCAAATATATGGACATGCAGCCTGAGCGAAGCAGTAGTCCAGCTTACCTTTGACGGTTCGCTAAACACTAGAAGCACCAATGTTCGCTGACCTCGTGACCCGCTGCGCACGATGAACCGCCACATAGTGGCAATTTTTGATGAGGTCATAGCACAAAAGAAATGAATTCCATGCAGCTCTCAGAAATATTGGAAATACATGAAAGTAATAGCCTTCAGGCAAATCAATCTTAAACCATTGAAAATTTCAAAGCAATTCGTCCAGTAATCAACAAGAAAAGCGGTTTTTCAATATGTGTCAAAGAACAACAACATAATAACAAAACGATCCATAGGTCCACTACATGCCCACAAATGAATTGTGACATGGGACTTGATATAGTTTTATCTCCAAAACTATCTTTGTACTTCAAAACTGTGTTTTGAAGTTGATGACCGGCTCACATACTCTACTGTGTATTGGTTCAATCTGCAAATATTCTGAAACTTGAGAATGTTTATGAATTTGAAGTGCTGAAACTTACGTTTCAGTTCAGATTTGGTATCATTGCTGATCATTGCTTCGGACAACTCATTAAAAAGTAATAATAATCGTTCAGCAGACGGAGGTTCCTATTTTGTTATAGTTAACTTTACCCTGGTACAAAAATGTATTGAAGATACTTTCTAACACAATAGCTTCGTGTAGTATTTCACAAGTTCTTGGAATATGATTATGTTCAAATTTCATAAAGGAACCATTCTAATCTAGTAATATTTAATATTTATTCAGCATTTTAGCTTATAAGGCAAATGTTAAATGAGAAATTAGATACTTGTTATTTGTAAAGGGCATGTAAAACATTAAACTTTAGTGTATGTTTGCTAATCCATGTTAGTAAGAGTTGTTTATTTGCCATAATTGCTTCTATTAAAATAATTTTCCTATTTTTGTTAATGTAACTTGGATCAATCATAAAAATCACTCTCATTGTTAATCTTGTTTTATAGTTTATTTATTGCTACTGTTTTTTATGCAAACTGTATTCCAATTGTTGCATCCAAGGTTATCCATCCAGCTAATCTAAACATTTTTATGACAGATCAACTTTTTCATAGATTTCACCTAATAGCACATAGTCAGCCCTATAGTTATCATTTTATTTACACAAACATTTGAAAGAGTGCAATCTCCTGGTCTGATCCTTTACTGCCACGAATATTTTATCATTTCGACTTGCTACTAGTATGCAATCTCACTTACTTTTGTGATTTCCATTTTCGTGTCTTGAAGACATTCTCATAAAATTCAGTTCCTAACCCTACCTAAGATCACACAATCGCTGAGTTTGAATACCTTTATATGTTTAATAGGTGCTCCCGTGTGTGCATCCCGTCCCAGCATGTGCACCAAGATGGCACACAGCCTGAACATAGTATGTGTACCATGTTAGGGTTATCAGGTTGTACGCCATCTCAGTGCACATACTACAGAAGCGTCGTTAATGTCACTGACTTCAACTTGTGTACACAAATTCCAAATATTTATTTTTTTGCTTCAAATAACGTGCAACATACTAAATTGTATTTGTTTGAGATTCATTTTTCCAAGATACAGAATTATGTTTTAATTTGCTTTCAGTATTTTTTGCCAATTATTAAACACTATTTATGGGGACTGTAGCATTTGTGTACACGATATTATATACTTTGTCTAGTCCTTGTTTGTTTTGAAGTCAATCAATAAGATCTGATTTCATTCATGAATCATAACCACTTTGTACTAATGCATTGTCTGCAATCCTAAAATAACAATTTCTCTGCTACTACTCCATACTGTGTTATTTTGTTCTTGTTATAGATAAACTTGTTATTATGTGGGTGGGTGCATATGCTGTTATATATATATAATGAAGTTCCTGATTACTTTCTGTAGCAAAAGTTTTCAGTGTGTAATCTTGAAATCTTGCAGTGAAAATATGTCTTCCCCCAGATAATGTCCTAGCATTTACTAAGTCCTTTGGTTAAGTTCATGTTTTAATATGCCAAACTATGCATGGAAACACAATGTAATTGTGTGACAACATTTCGAATCAATATGATATACTGGTGTTATATGCTTTCATTATTATAAAATATTGTAAATTAATTTCTCAATAATGTAATAATTTTTTATTGGTTGGATATCCCAATTTTTGTGTTCACATTTTGAACCTTACTGTAAATGATGTAGGATTTCCCATTTTGCATTTATACCCGATATCTTTATAGCATCATGTCATCTCAAATTATGTGCTTCATGTTATCTCAAATGTCATCTCTTTATTTCCGTTTACAACTTCTTTCTTGCGCGCATGTATGAATAAACATGCATGGTTCACTAACATTTGCATGTTTTCTCATGAATGTCCTGCTTGTAATTTTCTTAAAGCAGAATGAAAAACTATTGTAATTTATAATTTAACATTGGTGTTCTTTCTTCTATTTTTATTAATTCCCTGTAATCAGGGAAATGCTGATGCTGACACTATTGCTGATACTAAGCACTCCAATTAGCATTTAACCCTCACTCTCTATGCCTTCCAATGTCATATATTTCTTGTTGCTTGTGAACACTATTTTTTCAAAATATTCGAAATTTCGAAATATTCAATTCATCACTTTCATTAGGTGCTGTATATATGATTCATTCTGGCCATTTGAAGGAATATACGCTCACTCTCATGTCAGTGCGCTTTCGTTTCTATAATATAAAGCTTTCAAAATCATATCATATTACATGAGCCAACTTTAATGTTGCTCAATTTTGAAATGATTGATGATGATGATTTTTTTAAACCTACTTAGTTACAACAACTAGACCATTATAGTTACTTTTTAATGCCTTATACCAGTGGTTCTTAAACTTTTTCGAGCGCGACCCAAATCTGAGTTTTATGAATACTCCCGACCCAATCCTAAATACCGCAAAATGTGTTTTTAATGTTAGTACAGTTTGACTCAAATACAGACAACTATTTATTAGAAACAGTCCATTGACTCAGTGAGATTGATGAAACTGAAAATTCCTTTTCATTATATCTTCAATACACAGCTTTATTTTACTTAACGCAATACGCAAGTTGTCACGGGTATCGAGGCGATTGCGAGCTTAGTTTTGATAACCGTCAGTGCCAAATATCCTCGCTCGCACAAGTGCCTTGTCGCGAATTGTAGCAGAAAAGGCGTCCGCTGTCCGTCGCAAACACAACATCCTAGCTGGCCTTCGGTATCTCTCGCAATATACAACTTTTTACTCAAATGTGCACAGACTGCTTCGTTCGCGGTAAATGGTGCCTCGAGATGAAGTCACATTTTCTCTAGTTATTGAATAATCTAATGTCGAGAAGCGAGCTTTTTCATTGCGTCGTCTATTACAATTTACATTACCAAATAGACACCCATTTTTGGTTATTTTAATCCACTAAGACGACATTCCACGCGGTCAACACGATGACAAGCGACGTGCATGGTTACCGATACCATAAAAATAATACACGTGACTGGCATATCAGAATTGTGATGTAACAATGAGCTCAAGACAGTTCTTTCCGTGAATGAAATTTTATATTTCATTATTTTTAAATACCAGAGTTTAGAAGCTAAATTGAAACATTGGGAAAGCTGAAAATTCGTCCTCCTCTTAGATTGCCCTTGCATTGACGACCTTGTCGCGACCCATTTTCAAACCTTCCGCGACCCATGTTTGGGTCGCGACCCATACTTTAAGAACCACTGCCTTATACCTTACTTTGAGTCATTCACCATTTACATATCTTAAGTAACCAATGCCATTACCTCAAATTTGAAAATACCATAAAACCTACGATCTCTGGTCGTTCTTAGAGCATCGATTCACGGGCTTGTCAAACTCTCTGGTCATTTAGTTCAGGGACATTTAATTCATCCCTACATATATACCGTTTAATATGTTTTCAATGTTAGTCTAGTCTTGGAAAGTTTTGAGATTGTTTTTATCGTGGAAAACTGAATAAAATGAAATAAAGAGGCCTCCTAATTCACTGTTTTTATCGTGGAAAACTGAAAATGAAATGGAGAGTTTATAACGCCTCTTCAATCACGTAGTCGTTAGAGGGTTGTGATTAGAGTGATAGTGACTTCAACGTGGCAGAAAGCCAATCTAAAAATGCAATTCTCATACAGTGAAATCCCGTTTCAAAGCTCTTTTGAAACCACGGGAATATTTACCGTAGTCCGTAGCGTTGGAACATATTTCGGTAATTAGTATTACACAAATTACATAAAATCAAGTACAAGATATTACCTTAGTCCTTCAACGTCAAAGATTATGAGTCTAACGGAAAAATTGCGGTAGCGGGTTTACCTACGAGTGGCCAATACCGAATAGTTCACTGTTTCGAATACATTTGAAGTTCAAAAAACGCTTATCTATAATATGCGAAAGAATTTGCATGCAATAAACAATGGAATAACTGGCTATATTACCAGGCATTTCATATTCACAGATTACTGCGATATATATTTTAGAATAGTAACGCTTTTATTTCACAAGTCGACGTAATCATGAGTTAGTTACGTTAACAGATTTAAATAATATGGCAAGGCATTTGAAATAGTGGTATCGGTCATGGATTTGAATATTTGGCGCAACACAAAATCATCCTGGTAAAAAGTTCATACTTTTCTACCAACATTATTCAAATTATTTGCCAAAAAGCGGGATAAAGTATAAATTTTTTTTCTACTTGGGACAATTTTTCCAAGAGTCTCAAATACGAATCAAATTAATTATATTCAGGCGCTTTACCACACATTTTAAGCCCACAAATTGCCGTTGTATTTTGGAGTAATAATACTTTTATTATTTTGTGAATACGAAAATACGAATCAGCAATTAATTATATTCGGGCACTTTACCACACATTTTAAGCCCACAAATTGCCGTTGTATTTTGGAGTAATAATACTTTTATTATTTTGTGAATACGAAATACGAATCAAAATTAATTATATTCGGGCACTTTACCACACATTTTAAGTCCGTGTAGTGTATTTTTGAGTAATATTATTTTGTGAATACGAATCAGAAATTAATTATATTCGGGCACCTTGCCACACATTTTAAGTCCACAAATTCCAGTAGATTTCAGAGTAATAATACTTTTATTATTCAGTAAATCCGAAAATAGGAATCAAAAATGAATAATATCGGGCAGTTCACTACACATTTTATGCTCACAAATTGTCGTCGCAACCATAAGTTACGTTAAACAAAACTAAATTAATAACGCATAATAATTTTATATGCTGGTATCGGTCATGGATATAATAATTTGCACAACAGAAAATCATCCCAGTAAAAAGTCGAAACTTTCAAATATCATTATCAAAATTATTTGCCATAAAGCGGGAAAAAGTATTGATTATTTCCTCTAATAAATCGACTTGTTTTCCGACTTGCGACAATTTATTGGGTATCATAACAATTACGACATTGAATAATCTTCAATTTCTTGACGTAATGGAAATGAATGTGTAAATCGTTTGAAGATTCCCGCAAAAACGAAAAACCGTGTTTACGATGAAAAGAGACTATATATTATTCGAAAATCAGCCGAAAATGTATTCGAATATTTGATTCGTTTTGGACAACCCTGTCTACGAACCACAGTCTTCTTTTCTACAATACAACAATAATTTTTCGACCCAATTCTTTAAAAAGGTTCGCCATTCCTGCTAGACTAACCCATCAAATTGCGTGTTCCCTGACTACTACATGAAACATTAGCGTTTTCTGACCATCAAATGTTTGAGATTGTTTTGTAAAGTTCAAAAACAATTAGGTTGAAACTTTTCAGTTGCAGATTAGTAGTAATTTGACTCCAGTGTTAATGTCGAATATTCAGGGAAGTATTTCACTGGCTTTATTTCGCTAAATGTCCGTACAATTATAGAGACCCTGCTCAGCGCAGAATGTTTTCAAAACATTTCGCCTATAAGTTTTTGAAAGTATAATTTCATTTGATTTCAATTGAAAATCTAGAAAGGCTTTTTTATGTTATACTCACCAGAACAAATATTACAATCATTAGATATGAATATTGAACGTATTACTAGCTCAAAATTAATCCCTCATCAAACGCATTTGAACGCGAAATAACGGTGCACGAAACTACGCCAGTTATAAGCACTATTAAATATTAAACAATGCGGATATATATAGCACCAAGGTCTAACCCACCCTATTCCAAACAGCACGGAAAATTTGTCGCAAATGCGTCTTTCCTTGGAATTCAATTGCAACAGAGAACAAGACTTGCGTTACACGTAACACATTAATTTATAAGTTGCTCCTTCGCTATCCAGTAAGACATGGGTTGGATTCTGTACCAGGTAATGGTAATTATGTTCCTCAAGAAGTAAAGCATGCAAGAAGATTCCTGAAAAGTCAAACTAGTCTTCGACATTTACTTTCTGAAAAACGATAAAATGGATGAATTTGGTGGTTTCCAACATTTTGTGTTGAAATCTTCTATAAGTTGGTTTTTGAACTGTTTATACCAAAATCCCTATGTTTAATTAGCTTGCCTTTTGTAGATTCTTTGCCAGTGTTATACAAAAGTCGCATTTTCATTTTTACGCAGTTCAAATAGTTTGTCGCGTTTTCATGAATAATATTATACAAAAGTGAGTAATACTACAACGTATATTCCTATTCAAAGACTCTCCTCTAGATAGGAATTCACCCAATATCATAAAAATCATTTTTATAGCATAATATATCGAACACATCTTTACATCAAAAGGTTATATTCAAATTATAAAACCAATTAACTTCGAAAGAAATTTTGAGAATTGAAATTAACGAAACACGGAGAATGAACTCTTCATGCAGTGTGATCGTGAATTATGCCAAAAATATTTTAAAGCAAAACAGGATTCTCTACATATATACTTGAGCAATTTAAAATATTTGTAATTGAAAAGAATTGTTTAATAACAATATTTGGAATAGAAATATCGCAGGCTTCGGGGTGGCGTAAAAAATTGTAGGGACAATAATACAGGGAAAATTGAAATTTCCATGACGAAAGAGATAAAACATATGACCTCATAAATGATGGCACGATCCACAATGCTATGCCAGCCAATGCAGACCTCTTGAAATATGCGCAACAAGCTGGCGCATAACCTGAACTCAGGTTGTGTACCAGGTTAGGGTTCAGGTTGTGCGACATCTTGGTGCGCATACTTCAGGAGTACCCAAAACTTGATGAGAGAAACGTAATAATATATAAAACATTAAAAGATTGTATTAAAATTATTAATCAGAAAAATATAAAAAAAATGTTCAAGACATGATGAGAAAAATGTAATAATATATAAAACATTAAAATTAATCATAAAATAAAGACACGATGTAAAATCGGACAATACCTTTTAAATGAATTTTAAAATGTGAAACACTGATCAGATTAGTTAAATTTGACAATGTTCGTTTCCAAATCTGACACGCATTTCGCCATCCTTAACATGACACCCGTCAACCCACTGCCCTATTTCGCCCTCCTTAATCTGACACGCATCGACCATATTTCATCATCTCTAACCTGACAGGAATCGACCCTATTTCGCCACCCCCAATTTGACACGCTTCGTCCGTATTTTGCCATCCCTAACCTGCCACGCTTCGACCGTATTTCGGCATCCCTAATCTGCCACCACGCTTCGACCGCATTTTGCCATCCCTAATCTGCCACGTTTCGACCGTATTTCGCCATCCCTAATCTGCCACCACGCTTCGACCGCATTTTGCCATCCCTAATCTGCCACCACGCTTCGACCGCATTTTCCCATCCCTAATCTGCCACGCTTCGACCGCATTTCGCCATCCCTAATCTGCCACGCTTCGACCCCATTTCGCCATCCCATTTTGACACTCATCGACTGTGTTTTCCAAGCCCGAATTTGACAGGTACTAATCCATTTCATCAGCCCCAAATTTAAACACTTTGGCCATATTTCTTTGTAATTTTGAGGCAATTGTTTATTGTTATCTGTATACTAAACAGCGCATTATGACAGTCGATTTGGCAAAAACTGACAGCCATCGACCGCATTTTGCCATCCCTAATCTGCCACCACGCTTCGACCGCATTTTGCCATCCCTAATCTGCCACCATTCGACCGTATTTCGCCATCCCTAATCTGCCACGCTTCGACCGCATTTTGCCATCCCCAATTTGTCTTTTCGTCCCTATTTCGCCATCCCTAATCTGCCACCTTTCGACCGTATTTCGCCATCCCCATTTTGTCATCCCCAATATGACTTTTATGCTACCAACCCTCCTCCATTTTCCCGGCAATTGTGGCTATTTTGTGCCATCAATTGCCGGACTTTGAGAGGTTCTGGCGCTGAGTTAAATATGGATATATGTAATTTAGTAATCTGTGAACGTTTAGGATGCCTTAACTTACGGTGAAACATTGTCAGAACGTCAGCCCACACTCGTGTGACGCCAGCCCACACTCGTGTGACGCTCGCCCACACTCGTTTTTGTCAGGCCATACTAGGGGTAACTGGGCCGTGCTTGGTATTGTATTTGCGTTGTGTACATCAGATATGGTCTCTATATTGTCAGAGTCACCAAGTTTTTATGTAATTACGTTTATAAAGTCAGTAAAATAGTTGGTTAACCCCTTGACATCAGGCTGAGTGTGGGCTGGGGTAACTTTGGTTGTAAAACCCATCATATTTCCTGATTTATATTTTCAGTTACTTGTTACTTTTACACTTAACCTGTCCAGTTCTACAGTACCTGCATCTCTATACTGGAATTGTACAATCTACCAAATAAAGAATGGCAGATCCTAAATATGCTGGCCTTCCTGGTATAGATACTTCGGAAAAAGATATTTACGAATCTGGAGATCTTCCCGAAGATGATCAACAATGGATACCTGAAGAATTATCAAGTGAAAGCGTAGAAAAAGACAACATAAATACGAAGGAAGCATTTAAACAGTTTAATTCAAAGTATGTTTCTGGAAGTGACGCAGATTTTTCAGAAAAACTTGGTTCAAAACCAGGGTATGATACTGGAGAGTACTCCATTGCGGGGATTGGTGAAGTAGAAACACCGACACAAAAGCTTCAGAGACTCAGAGCAGAAGTTGCGCAGTTATCAACAGAACTAAAATCAGGATCAGGTGATAAGTCAGGGTCACTACCTGCCGAAACTCTTAAACAAGTTGAAATCCTTCAATCACAGCTTGCTTCTCATGGCCAAGGTGATGGTACATATTTGCACGGAAGCTTTGATAAAGTTTTATCATCAATAAATGAGATGATGGCATTGCAACAAAAGTCGACATCATCCTCTTCAAAAAAAAACCAAGAAGGTTCATATAGTTTGATGATTAAACCAGATCAGTCACAATTAAAATTTGGCGCAAAAATGTCTGATATTGAAGCAAGAATATCAAAAATTGAAAAGGCTGTTGGTGTTGACACTGAAGCTCTTGCTGTTTTATCTTCTCAAACAAAACACAAAAATCTCAAAGCGGCGGTTGAGGGATTGGAAGTCAAAAGAAACATGCTCGATCCAGAAAAATTGCCACAGGTTGACACAAGATTGCAAGCAGTATTGAACAAACTCAATGAAATAAATAAAGTACGAAAACAAAAAGGAGCGGAACAGGTAGCTCTAGATAAAAAAGTTCTTGAAATATATGATTTAGTACAGAAATGGGACAGCGTCTGCGCTTCATTACCAAGCATCATTCATCGTCTTGAGACCTTGAATTCATTACACCAACAAGCTGCAGATTTTTCATCCACACTTCAGCATATGGAGACAGTACAAAATCAAATTGCAACCAAGATTGGAGACACTACCACGTTAGCGAAACAAGTCGATGAAACTTTCAAACAAAATGCACAAACGATTCAATCAAATTTGCAATCACTGGAAAACAGAATTCAAAATTTGACAGCAAAGAAATAACATTATCAATGTTTTATAGTTTATCATGCATGTTTTGTGATAGTTTATACGAAGCTGAAAAAAGAAGAAGATATCATTGGGATGCAAAGTGACTGCATCTGCTTTGCTGACAAGTGGCTCTACTACAATTAGTATTAATTTGTTTTGCTGCAAATCCATTTGAAAATTTTGACTGACTGCTTTTGATGTGAATTATTATTTATTGTTCCAATAATTCTTATATTTGTACACTTTGTAAATGGTTCAGTTAAAACCCAACTCACTAAACATATACGATAGTTATTGATTTTATCCAATTGTTCATCGCATGTTCCATTTTGCTTTGTAGTGGGATGCTTAGTAGTGTTTATCGAAATGAATCTTTGACCGGAGACAAGTTGCTCTGTAATGACATGGTACTCTGCAAAACCATGTTTCTTTATAATATTTTCGAATTTTTCATATTGTGTTTGCGTAAATGATTTCCAAAAACGTCTAGTTATCCATACATATCTTTAAAAAACTACCCAAAAAATTCCATCAAGACATTTTACTGTTTCGTGGATCGTATTTTTTGTTATAATGCCACTTAAATAGAGTACTAGCTAGTTATGTGGGTGCATGCACTTTATCGTTTTCTGAATATACATTCATTTTGTCAATGGTAATAAGACAATATATTGTGATACTTATTTGTTACCTATCATTAATTGGTGTTTATATTTCTGTTGTGCAGATACATATTAGATATTTACTTGAATGAACTTTTGCCATGGTGGCTCCGGAAGTGGATAATGGTAATGACCAAACCGTTACTGTTGGTTTAGCAAAATCTGGCAGGTGGTGGAAACCATCTCAAGACACACGATTCTCAAATATAAAGAAGGATAAACCTTTACGTTCAACATGGGATCAAAAAATGAAAGCCAGAGCAGAGAAAAAATCCATCAAAGAATATTCAAAAAGACTTCAGGATGAAAAAAGAAGAGAACGGATAGAGTATTGGGACAGGGTGAAAGCACATCGAGTGAAAAAAGAAGAAAATCGTAAAAATTCTGAAGTTGTTCAAGTTATTAAAAATACAAAAAAAATTAAAAGATTGAAAAAGAAACAGCTGCGACAAATAGAAAAGAGGGACATTACTGGCGTAAAAACGAAGAAGATGTTACCCACAGATACAAGGACTAAAAAATAAAATATCCGGTATCATTTTTGTCTATTTTACAGTTCTTGTATTTCAGGAGAAGATCGGTTTAGAAAATTGGTATAAATAAGTTTAGTAAGTGGAGCATGTTTTACATTTGTATCAGAGGATTCATAGTTTTTAATCTTCTGGGTGTAAGAAGTCCGCAACGGTGAATGACATGCATATGGCGTGTTCTTGGGTTAGTGACAAGAACTTGAAATTTCATTTCCTTGCCTAATTTATCAATTTTGTTCCTTTTAAATGGACATGTTGGTGTTTCTACTAATGTTTGGCCTGGCAAGTATAATCTCTGAAAAATATGACTTATGACCAATGATGATCTATGGTTAAAAACTGCTGCAAAATTGACCAACAACTCCACCAGACTAGTAATACAGTGGGGCTGTTTGAACCAATAGATCAGTGGTTGTCAAATTATTTTAGTGAGCTAATTTTCAACCCTTAAAGCTGTTATAAAATGTATGAAAAACAGCACAAATTAAAATGGATTTAACACTAAAGTTAACATTGCCTTTGACTTTTTTAATTCTGAAAAAGCAGCATTCTTTACCAATATATATATAACAATAGCTTAGCTTCATATTTTCATAAGGATATCTATTTCAGTTTGGAAATATTGTTCATCTTAATCACATTAAAACGTCTGATTATATTCATATATAAACAGTGCAAGCTTTTTTGAAGGTTTTCTTGACAAACTGAACAATAAATATTTTATTCGAAAATACCCCAAACTAGCCTGCTTGTGAAATTAGTGCACTGAAACGTAGGCCAAACATTATGGCATCATAATGGAAAGTTGCACCCAACGTCCACGATGACGTCAATTTTCACTGGAAATGTTTCAGGAAGGATAGTTGAGAATCACTGGCGCAGATGTTGTTAGCTGACAATCCTCATCTCATTCAAAAAATGCTTCTTTATCCATTTTAATCTTTCCCCTCATCACAGTCAAAAGAATCTACTGATATTATTATTAGAAAGTAATTTTTCAACAAGTTATGAAACATAGTCTACACCGAAAAAAGACATTTAACATACGCAAGCTGCCAAGGTTAATAATATACATTTTCCTTGCACACCTTGTATGAATTGGTAACAAATTGCAGGATTGTGAGACAATGACAGGTGTTAAATCCACAATCACCCTTTCGTCACAATAGGCTCGCGTCAGCATAAAAAGGCGTCATTACCTGTAATCATCCTGGATATCGCAAAACACCAAAGAGAAACTACATAGAACTGGTAGATTTTGAGACTCAAAACTAAAATAATCTATCCACATTATTGAAATTACACCATAACGTATATGTAAATAATAATATTTGAAGAGGAAAAAATATATATAAGTCTCGAAAGGGAACTTGAAAATCAGGTAAATAACGAATGTATCGTAAAGAAAAAGCGACTTCGTGTTGAGAAGCTGATTTTGCTTCACACAGTCATTATCGAGTTCAATATTTTGCACCCACTTTGATAGCGGTATTGATAAAAACATATATTTAAATCAAAAAGAAAATCCTTCACGTTTGAATATAAATTGAAGCCCACAATAGAATAGAAGAAACACCATTTCAAACCGTTGAAAGACAGCTTTTAAAAAAAAATTACCATAATCTAACTATACATTTCATTATTATGAATAATTAGTATAAAAATCAAATATACAAAAGATATACGCTATGAGAGAAATGTACAACTAAAATTAAATTCATTAATAAATGGTCAAGCTGCCAAAGGTCCAAACAGAAAGCTGACTTACTAACTTTACTCAAATTTTAGGAAACAAGGGACATTTCAACTATTTAGCTTGTAAACTTCAGCATGTATCATGATCTACTTCGAAAAATACGCATTCAGATACGCAATAATAATATCGAATGAAATTCGACATAAGCATATATATTATTTTTAAGAATGCAGACCCATTGAATAAAACTTTAAGATTTGAGATGAGGTTCGAATAATTTGGTATGACCAGAGAAAAAATGGATGATTTGCTATTCATGAAACAATTTAAATTATGTTCCGAATATTTTTAATTCGGCCACGTTCGACAAAGAAATCTGAACGAATCAAATAATTGAAAAAAACAAGAACTGTTATGAATTTATCTCCATTGTGAACTGATACAACTACCGGTAATCCAAAAAATGTCCAAAAAAAAAAATATTTCTAACAAATTTCCCAATGACCACTAGGTTTCAATTAAATGCTACTGAAACTATAGTATACGATTTTGTGTATTTTTGTTTGATTGAATGTGGCTTGACTGAAGAAACTTGAAAAAATATAAAAAAAAAATTGCTAAAAAATTATTCATAAGAATCCTCCACTTCATCCTCATGAGTAGATACAAAATCATCATCCTCATCTGAAAGATTCTCTTCAATTTTTTCCAACTTCTCAGGATCAGGAACAATTGGATCATCGATTTCAAGATCTTGTACCGACGAAGTTGCAGCTTCCAGCCAAGAATTAATTCTTGCGTTTGTATCAGAGCTTGTTCCAGGCAGTGCAATACCAAACTTTCCTGTACCCGATGGTTTACCTATATCGGGAGTGGCACTAGATGAAGATTCCTTGCCAGTTCGTGCAACCACCGTGCTCACAGTTGAAAAGGATTTATCCAAATGTGATGCTTCCGTGTTCACTTTTTCTTCCGACGTTAAACTTCCACTTGTGTCGAGAGCATTGAGATAAGAATCCTGATTAGATGAATTTCCGTTTTCAACTTCCTCATTTGCATCCCCTTCTGACAACACTGGCTCTCCTTCAAAATCTTCTTCATTTGTGATTTCTTTTGCATCATCTTCAGCTAAATTAAGTAATCAAAAATTTATGATTTCATTTGATAAGATTAGGTGTTTTATAAATCTCGATGATTTGGAAATTTATAAAGTTGTCAAATAAGTTCAAGTATGCAGTATGATGCTTTAAGACAAAAAATACACTGAAGTGTCAAAATTTCGGGAAAGTGATGTTTAATATAATATAAAATATCACAAATAAAAAGGTACTGTTTATGCTGATATTCAATCATTCTTCGAAGCATAAAATGGCACACAAGTTTGAAAATCAAAAATATACGCTTCCCACATTTCCTCAAAACTTTTTTGTTAAAAATTCTCAAATTATTTCTGTTTACTCGAAACTGTTTACTTCATTTTTCGTATTATTTTTTTGCTGTGATCCAAATTCATTTTCTAATGCTTAGCATATAGCGCATTCATTGGTTAAATTGGAAACAGATTACAATTAAAACATTTTATAGCATTTATACCTGGATTCTTTGTGACGGAAACTTCGTCATTCTTTTCTTCTGCATTCTGCTTTTCATCCTGCTGTTCGTTTTCTCTTTCATCTTCTTGTACATTTTCTGGAGGAAGAGTAGAAACCGGATTCTGTTCATCTGTCACTTCCATCATATTCCTCCAGCTTGCACCTAGAAAATTGGATAGACTCGATCAGTCACATGAAAAATAGAAAGAATATAAGGCGATTCTGAAAACCATATTACCTTCAGAAGGATTCATCTCAGAGATAGGTTCAGATATCATACTGCAGAATGAAACACAACTTGCTGCAGAAGGATTCCTGGAATGTCCCATGTGTGCAAATCTTTTTACGGCTGTTGGTGGGACCTAGAAAAGTTAACGATTAAAGTAAATATCCTAAAGTGGATTGCATATATATAATTCGTTCGATCCACATACAAAAACTAAGACTTTAATTAACGCAATATTAAATAATGAATGAATCAATAGCTGTAGAATGGGTGCAAAAATAATATAGAACAAGGTTCGATTTTGACATTTGTCTCTGGAGACAATGGGATAGGATTATCACATTCACATGGAAATCCGATAAGGAGGCTAAATCATATGGTGAAGCGTGGGACTCATGGAAATAGTTAACCATTCATTAGTTTCAGATGTTTTCGCAAATTAGCACTAAGATGGTAACTGGTTCGTAATTTTTAGAAAAATGTGCCACTATCGAGCTAAAATAGATAGATGTGAAAGAATACCTAAGGTGGATGGTTCGATTGAACAATAGGATAAGACAAAATTGGTCGATTACATGAAAAGTTATTTCTTACAAGAGGGCAAAAGTTGATGTTAAAATTGGCTTGCTTATCAAAATTAGGCTATCCATGATAAACTGTAGAATTTAATAAAGAAGTTGGTCAAACATCATAAATTCATTGATGAAAAAAAATGTAGATTTCAAATATTCTAACCGTTGGTGGAGTCGTATTTGCCTCAAGAACTTCTTGTTGGTACATCATCATCATTTCTTGATATTTATTATGAGCATCTTCAACCAAGTCCAACATCTTTTTATAACTGTCCTGAATAGATCATTTGAACGTATTATACATCAAGCATATTTCATTTTTGCATGAGTAAAGCATGTGGAGAGAGATAGCGTGGAGAGAGATATTAAAATGACATTTGAATTGAAATCACAAATCAGTAATCAGTCATTTATTTTTTCACGATACTGTAAGTGGGCCACTGGTGGGCCGCAGAAACATTTCAGTTGGGCCACAAATCTATGATAATGCTGTTTTTGCTACTTTGATTTTAACCATTGAAGTGGAAGTGCCGATCTTTGCGAAAATATTTTTGTTTTTCTCGTAGTTTTTCCCTTGCATATGAAAGTTAATGGGTCACAGGATTTATTTGTGCAACGAAAGAAAAAAGGTTGAGAACCAGTGCCCTGGATATACGCAAATTACGATAAACTATGAAAACTCGCATCTCAGGGTGAAGGTGGACGCAAAAAAACAATACTGGTTATCGAGCAGTGGCACTCCTAAGAAATTTAAAGAGAAAAAAAAGTCAACCTATAAATTTGTAAACTTTTAACATAAAGTATGTCAAGACAAAATGACGTAATCAGATTTTTATGACTTACGAATGCCACATTTATCACATTAGCTAATACTGGTAGTTTGCTCAAAACTAGGTCAAATTTTTTAACCCAAAAGTTGTAAGTCTGGTGGTACTTTCCTCAACACTTCAACTCTTAGTTTAAACTTTATTAAAATTTCAGGTAGGGTAAGTATAGAATCTTGATTATCATTACAAAATACTGGGCATCGATACTTAGATGTCAGTATTTTGCATAGCTAGGTTCAGGATCGAGAGAACAGGGAAAACCCAGATCATTTATAAACTAGGTAGCCTTCAAGAGAACTGAATGACGATTAAAATGCATTTCTCCGAGGTAACATACAGGATAGGACAAAGGTAGATCAGATTGTTAACCTACTTTTGTGCTATCCTTTAAATTCATTCCTTACCTCCACACCACTATAATCGAATATTCCGATAATACTGACGGGCACAAGTTTAGAGACAGCACGTCCCATTGCACATCGACCAAGTGCGAACACATGTGGGACGGATTGTGTTTTGCATAGTAGAAGGATTTGCTGTAAGGCATCATCTAGTCCACCTGGACAATAATCATATCATTTTAAAAAAGATCAATGAATAATTATATTTGGTAGATAGCAGAGTTAAAACAAATAAAACGTGAATCAAATTTAGTTGCCATTCTGTACGGTAGGAATCTGCCAAAAGTCATCAGCAAACAGTAATATGGCGATTAACTTTCAAACTCAAACAGATTTTGCTTGTAAAGAAAGACCTTCAACTAGAAAAAGATTAGATAGACAGGGTAAAATTTTTAAAATTTTTCGTCAATTGCAATTTCCTGAAGACGATTTCGTAATATTCAGAGGGAGAGAGGAAAAACGACATAATCACATGACAAACCATGGCTTCTCACATGGTCCATGTTGAGTATAAAATAAGTAACTATTTGTTTAATCTGATACACACATAGTTTAAGGCAACAAGGTAGTCTTGAAAAGGCCATCCAAGTCAAAAACACTTCCAAAGATAGAATAAAGACTGCCACAATGGTAAGGTAGAATTTTTATGGGGTTAAAGTTCACCTTTCGACTGAATCTTCTCCAAATTAGGGGAGATCAAGACACATCGAAGTTTCTTCAGTTTGAGATGTTTAGTGACTTCACGAATACCAAGAACAAATCTGCGTTTGCTCTTGGCTTTTACAGGATCTTTCTGATACATTCTGTAGTAAAATATATTTGGTTTTGGTTACCATAATTACCTAGACTCTATCAGAAAACATCATACTGAGAACCTGTGCCAGACTGCATGTCATTGAACAAAAATGAATTTTCATTATTCAAATTTTCTGGGAACTTATAGAGTTCAGAATTCTGAAGGTCATAATTATTATAGTGCAGAGGTGTGTAACATTATTTGTTGGCAAGCGATATAACTAACTTCCGACATCTAGCTGGGCCATAAAAAAAAATAGTTTTTTCAAGTACACATTGAATCAAAAAATTTTCAATGAAAAGGCTTAGCATCACAGTAATAAAAGCACCTGGTAAAACGATGAAAGATTCAGCGCAGTGGCAGGAGCAAAAAAAAACACGTTTTTACCCGCCTTTTTAACCTGTTTCAGACGCCCAATCGAGCCCAATTTTGAATACATTTTTATTAATGTCATACGACCCCCAAAATTTACCCAATATACAATAATTATATACCATTGGAAAGGTATTTTAGAGTACTATACGCTAGATGTCACTGGAGGACCGTAAACTAAAACACCTCTTTCAAGAGGTCTCTCGTAACGTCAAAAAATAACAAAAATATTTACACTCTCTCATTCTATCAGCTGATGGACGTCTACAGCTATTGTAAAGCTGAAATGTGACTATACAGTTGACTGCACATTGGTTTTCTCTTTCATATGATACTAAACGCTTTTCCATAGCGCGCGTTGTTCAAGTGTTTTGGAAATTTTCCGTTTGAGAAGTCACCACATCGAATCAGGCCAGGCTAAGCTTGATAGATCGATCGGTTGTTTGTTTGTGCTTTATCGCGTTGAAAGCTTTTGTGAGTCATAATAAAACATTTATTATGAATCATAAAAGCTTATAATCGTCAGACAAGGAGAATTTGCGAGATAAAACGCCTAACTTTTTTTCGGTGAGGCAGCTGCGATCAAACGACTCGATATTTTTATAACTTCCTGACGTTGTGAGATGTCCACTCTCCTATGTTATGTAGCATATAAAATGACCTTCAAAATAAGACCTTATCATACTAGCTTTTGTTATTGGTTAGCGCGCAACGCCAAGGTTTATGGAATCATTTTCTTGTTGTGCGACGTTTTTATATCGCAGCGGGAAGTACACGCGTGATATGTAAGCGAAATTTTATCACTTCTAAATGTCATATAAGGTTCATTCTCATATCGTTGTGTGGGGAATAAGATTTCCTTTCAAGCAAGACCATAACAAACATTCCAGACCTCATGGTATACACACAGCATTGCAAAACGTCGCGCATGCGTCAAACCGGGAGGATTAGGTTAAACAAACTGTCAGATTAGAATTATATGCTTGATGGGGAGAATGTGAGTGTTGACAAGGGCCACACTAAATACACTAAAAACAAAAAAGGTTTTTTAATCTCAAAAAATTTTGCATATAATTCGCGTAAAGTTCCGTAATAATTTGGAACCTAGCTGCTTATTTCATTAGTTTATCCCATTACTAATAGACGAACCAATACATACCTCTCCTGAAATTGAACCAGCTTTTGAAGAATAACAATACACGCTTCATCAATTTGTTTGTCCAGCACTTGGCCAGAGCAATATCTGCAATGAAAAACAGAACGAGGTGTTAGCGGTAGCATGACTGTCACTCACATTACCGCTGGGTTTCAATTCAAATTTTACATTGATCCACACAGCCGCACAATTTTTCCTAAAACCATACCATATTATACAGGGAGAACAAAAAAAACATTAATTTATTGATTGCTTCTACATTGGTGTATCCCAAGCTGGTTTGCGCAAAAGTTATGTTGCGAATGACATTCAATACCCATTTTGGTTCAAGGGTAATCTGCCGCATTCTCATCGCCATAGTGATGTCTCAGGCACAGCAATACTTTTTGAGTTAACTGATGCATTTTCTTGCTGTCTACCAAGTGAGTTACTGATACACATTAGAATTTATTCAAGGGAGATCAATTTCTGCCAAATTAACGTTTCTATGTGAATCTAGTAACTATCATACTTCACTGTAAAAGTTAAATAAAAAAAAGATACCAATATTTTTATTCAAACAAAAGTTTTGACAAATGAAATTTACTTACTCTCGGTATCTTCTGCTGTGTATTTTAGGTAAATTAGCTGGAACAATAGGACTGGAATTTCCAGATACAGATACAGTGATGGGAGATTGATTGTCTGAACTTGTGACTTCTGATGTTGAAATATTGTCCGATGCATCTGATAATAAAAATGAAAAACTATACCCTTCTGTGGCTTGACGCTTGTCTCATGATCTATTTGATTTTAAACATTTTAAAAGCGTATATTTCGCAACAAATTCATGACAATCTTAAGTGATTCAAGAGTCTTGCTGCACACTAACACAAACATATTTCTGTAACGTTTCCACCGACCAGGTTTCAGACTTCCTCAGTTACTGAGGAGTACACTAGGGGGTGTACCAAGATGGCGGACACCGGAACGTAGTATGTGTACCAGGTTAGGGTTAGGCCATAATTTTATTTAATTTAGTTCTATTACGAGTTCGTAGACCAGCCAAGGGACTCTCGTAGTATTTGTACCTAAATTTATGACCTAACCCCAACCTAGGACACATACTACGTTCCCGTGTCCGCCATACTTCAGGAGCACCCACAAAGGTCCGAAGACTAACAACTGCAATACAGCAGTAGCCCAAGTGACTTAAGTCCACTAGCTGATTATTCAGAAGCTTAAAATCCTAACTAATACCCAATTCCTACCCCCACAGCAATTTACATAACCATGGTAAGGCTGTACATCGCTACCACTACAATAAGGCCTTGATGACCCGCTTCAATAATAAAATAGTACTTGACCAAGTGTTATTTTTAAAAACTACTCAAAACTATAACTTGATATGTTGGGTCAATCGATAAACAAATTTTAATCTGATTTTTTGACCTAGCAGTTGTGGGTGGGCAGAAAATTCTGATTGGTTATCAAGTAAATAAACCTCCTGCAATGCAAAGTACTGCACTTGAATGACAGGCCCATATATATAACCCATCGGGACTTTTAAAATCTAGAGTTTGTAACTCACTAAATAACTCACTATTTTCAGGTAAATTTTCTTTTTGCGTTGTATAGTCTGTATTGAAGAAATCTGCAGACACATTTGGAATGTCAAATTCAGGGTTCGCAGTTTTAGAAAGAGTATCGATTCTGTTTCGATTTCTCTCTTCTCTCTCTTTCAAGATAACCTGAAAAAACAAAATCTTTACTATAGAAGACTGAAATTGTAGCTGGTACAAAGTGTTGGTCTAGATTTCACTGGAGGACAGTTTGGCAAATCTTCCTTGCTATCTGATTTTCCACGAAAAAAAGCATTTTATGCCAAAACTTTAAGGCCAAAACAAACTATTTGTAGTCTCTGAAGCTCTTATAGGTCAACAACAGTAACTTCTCTCCGAGACCAAATTCCCATATTTCTGAGTGAATGTATGTGACATTGTTCTGAGCAAATATAATAAAAAAATCTAGATAGTCTTATCAAAAAAATCTTGCATACACAAAAATTTTAGTTATTAAAATAAGATTTTTTCATAATACAGAGCTGGATATTTTCACAATTTCACACAGTTTCAAGTCTGTGCCAAAACTGTTTTAAACCCCAGTCTGAATCGATTGCAGAATTTTTCTTTACTAAATTATCAAAGTTTACACTGAAATAAATAAAAACGACGAAATATTGACTGAACAGTGACAAATCGCAATAAGTTACCAATATACAATCTTTTAAACTGAAAACCGAAAATTTACGTCCATTTCAAATATCATTATTCATTGGAAAGCATTTTATGTAATCTGATCAACACAGAAATGAAGAACTTTACTTCCCCAAAATTAGCCACGAAAGACAGTATTTCTTCAAAAACAGCAAGAATAAACTTATTTAACTTATTTTCATTTCTAGATTCCAACGAACAGATGTATATATGTTACAATTACCTTTTTCAAAGCACTTGGTTTTTTAGCTCTTGGAATTTCTCTTTCTTTACCTCGTTTTTTCATTGGTGCTGATGAGTCGAGAGGATTATGTGGCATCATACCATCACTGGAGGATTGCATATGTCTAGAAATAATGAACATAGTCATATTTTTTTCATTATTATTCGACATACACTTTTTGCTCTGAACTCCAAGCCGCCACGGCTAAGTGACAAGCTAGTATAGTTGATACTATAGCAGCGGAAGGGTCCTCACAAGAATAGAAGCTTCTAATATCAATAAATATTAGTGCAAGCTGTACAGGAACTAGTTCAGAGCGAAATAAACATCTCATATAAAAGATTGTGTGGCAACCTCCGTTGAGTAAATTCTCTCAAAAACGATAAATATTATTGATATAGTAGCGAGGAAGTGAATCGAGAAAAAAAGAAACAAAAACTACACTTATGCTTTGTACAAATATAAATATCCCTTTCAATGAATTAATTCCAAAATAGCTATAATTCCGTCAACTAGTCGGCATATTTTTACAGTGTCCAAAAGCTTAGCACAGCAGTGATTTGAATATACGAGACTACTGTGTCCTGTGAAACTAAATATCTCAAGTGAAAGCCGAGACATAATTTAGGAACCTTGGTTGTCTTTGAAATTCAGAATCTCTTTTCAATTGCTTTTGTTCTTCGTTATTTTCTCCATTTTTTTGCTCCAATTTGGTCAACATTTCTGCTAGGTCTAGATGAGGTGATCTTCCTTTGCTAGTACGACCTGCTGTTTTTTTGTTGAGTTGTTTCTGAAAATAGAAAAAAATGCTGTCATTTTTCAAAATCCCAGAATTCGTAGTTAGTACTCCATAATGATGAGAGTTGTAGTCGAAATTTTCAAGTGAAACAAACCCCAAAGTTGTCATAGTAAGTTGTTCTATATTTTAGTTAGCAGTTACAGTTAGAGTCCATATCATTCCCAACACGAGCTCAGTCAAGAATAATTTATCAGTGGTGACCAGGGGAATAGACAGAAAATTTCAAAGAGGGGGTTCTAATTGCGAAGTTAGACTGCAACAGCTAGCGGGGCTCGGGGGTGAAAACATGAGTTTTCACGAGTCTTGGGGGCTTCTCAAAAAAGTAACAAGCTACGGAAAATTGCTATGTATGGTACAAAAAAAGAGGGGTTCCGACTCGCAAAACCAGATGGAGCAGATAAAGTGTTAGATTTAACTGTGTTGACATCAATGGTTACACATGATATAAGGTTCAAATCTCATGCCCAGGATATGATAAATTGGGTCGGCATCGTTGAACCGCGAAGATTTCGGTCCTTCTCATAATAGCACCTCTTACATATTATTAGTTATCAGTGGTTGTGTGTACAAGACTTTGTTTGGAGCGGAAAGCGTGGAAAAGCAACATATAAAATATACGGTAGTTTATTTATATTCCATTTATAACGATTTATATTTCTCTGTATCAAAAACTACATCAAATTTAAACAGTTTCGAATAGTTCTTGTGGATTTACAATTAAATTCTTTTTTTTTTTCATTTTGCATCTTGCAAAATTTTAAGCTTATTTCAAGAGAGTACAAATCAAATACAAACTTTTATATTTTCTTGCTCTTTACTAATTTCAGCATATTCTTCCGCGGCAGCCTTTGCTGCTCGTTCCGTTTTCTTACGTCTTCGTCGAGAACCTTTACCTGACCCAGAGTCGTCCGGTTCAATTATACTTTTTATGGGGCTGTTATCAGGTATGTTGATTTCCTGACAGAAAGAAGAAGATTTAAATTGCGAATTCAAAGTTTTTTATCTGAAAAAAGAGTGCATGTACATTCTTTCTCTACTCAGATAGACATATTGTACACAATCACCAGTATATAAATCAGGGGTGTGGGTCAAGGTTATTGGACCAGAGGCCGAAAATTTGGGGGCTCCCGAAGTATGCGAACCAAGATGGCGGACATCGGAATGTAATATGTGTACTAGGTTACGGTTAGGCCATAATGTTAGGTATAAATACTACGTGAGGCTCTTGGCTAGTCTTCAAACGGATAATAGGACTAAAATAAGGAAAATTGGAAAAAAATTATCGCCTAACCCTAACCTGTTACCCATGTTACGTTCCGATGTCCGCCATCTTGGTTCGCATACTTCGGGAGCACCAAAAATCTTGCCTACCTAGATTGGGGGACCATGTAGGTGTGACGTAAAAAGTTACATCTTATGACCAATATTTACAGTTAAATTTAATCGCAATCTTTACAAATTCCTTGAGCTATTTTTTAGCTAAAACATCAAGTTCGATTGTGGCAGCATCAGGCGGGCCAGACTGAATTACTTGAGGGCCCATGTCAGAAAGAATTTCAATCAACTAGTCTTGGTAATAAAAGGACACAAAAAAAAAAAAATTATCCCATTGGAATGATTGGGCAAAATCCATGATCTCTCAGTCTGCTGATGGGTGCTTATTTCAGGTGGGTATTTATATGGTGCTTAGACTTATGAACCCTTTTCATGCTCAAAATGTAAACTTATATCGTCTTCGCCAGAAAATCCTCAGCCCCAAAGTAACTGAAACTAGCATTCCACAACAAAAATTAAAAATAAACGTGGAGCGAATTCCCTTTTTCAGCGACATGAATATTTATCTCATTTCCATCTGTTCAGTGGAAGCCTATCTAAACGATTTGCCCTTTTTCCAATTAATGACCCTGGACACCTTTCCAAAAAACGTTGGTAGTATATTTTACACAATACTGAATGACGATAAAACATGTTCTATTTCTATTGTTCAATTTTACATTTCGCACCACCTTAGTCATAAATTAACATAAGTATAAGCATTAAAACGTATCATCCAAAAGTCCCTCATGTTACGCTTACTGGTTTTGGTTTATTCTGTAAAGCTGCACTGTATGAGAATGCTGCATGAGCTTGAGAACTGTGGCCTGATGCTCCAGATGTTGATCGCAAATCAGGAAAATCCTCATCCTAAAATGAGAACAGAGTTTGTTTGACAAGTTGAAATTTTGGAATTTTTGAAGAAATCCTTCACGAAAGGGAATAAGACCCAAAATATAAATGTCATGGGAACTTGATGGTAATGTTACTTAAGAAAATGCCTGCTGTAAGCAGGTTTGGAGATTTAAATGCCGAATGGGATGGTTATATGCAGAATTCCTGGGCTCCACACCGTTGCAGAGTGGTTTTCCCTCTTGTCATATTCAATCAAGCCCATGTTCTAACATATTATGATTGAGTGGTGTTATCGACTTTTCTTTAACCCTGACAAATATGAAAAATAGGCTATCCTACAGGGTGATCCCGCAAAACAGAACCCATGTATTTCTCAATTACTTCTACGACAATGAAGAAAATTTTAACTTCCCTTTGTGTATTCTATGACTGTACCCAAAAGTTTCAGTAATCTAGGATGTTTGCACAAAAGTTATGTTCACTCTAGAGTATGTTCCAAAGGCCCTGGGTTCTGTTTTTTGGGGAAAAATGTACTTTTTAGCAGTTAAATTATTACAAAGGATTTCTTACTGTTAGCTGTGGCGGATTTTGTTGAACTAGGTTTGATGGTGCGGTGTTGGGGTTCAGTCTCAGCATTCCTGGGCCACCCATAGGTGGGGCTGCGGCGTTTTGATTATTATGTCCCATATTATTTGACATTGAACTTGGAACTATCGGAGCTTGTTGAACAGGATGTCTAGGATGCCGAGGAGGTCCCTGATAACGTGGGTATCTCCAACCCTGATGTCCCCCTCCACGATAGAAATGATTTTGACCCAGAGATGCTCGCTGCCGTGGTACAAATGCTGGTGGACAAATGGGGGCCTGTGAAAAATTGACAGAATTTACAATGACGACGGAAATTGTGGGATAGTGAAGAAAATGCACAAAAACATCAATTAATCACTATTAGGGGAACTTGGATATTGTGTATTGAACTGCAGGTCCTTTCTCCTTGATTACTTTCTACTTCGGATCTGTACCACAAAGATGCTTGAACGAGATAGTGTTGAAGTGAAAAGTAAAATTAACATGATCTCTTTCAACGAAATAGTAAGTATATTTGTGAGCTTTCGTTAGATCATGGTCTAACTTCTTCAAACAAAACAGGATATAACTTAATCAAATAGGGAATTCTATTTCGTTGAAAGAGATCATGTTATTTTTACTAATTATTATTACTACAGATTAAAGTTATTTAGACCATAAATTTAATAAAATGATTATGAAGTTATTTGTAGACATTACTTCATTTTATACAAATGTATATCAACGGGGAAGGGCTCTTGAAAGAGTTCATTGTAATAATCTGGACCGATTTTGTTTACTTAACCAACCATAAAGCAAACATCACATGACAAGTTAAAGTTTGGTAACAGACATGTGATAGAAAGTACAAACTATTTGAATATCAATATGGATCGATGAAACGAACAGGGATACTATTTTATTTTTGATCATTAATTCAAATTGAAGCAATATCACGATTTAACTTCATAATATTTGTTCTAAAGCGTGGTTTCGCGAATTACACAGTTGTATGATAATTAAAAATATTGGTGACATTGCAAATAAATATCCAAATAACCATATTATTTGGATACACATCTCTATCTGACCATTGATAAAGAAAATACTTTTTCAATCAATTGATACAAAATCTTATAAATTTTGTTTATCCATGCAAGACATTATGTTAAAAATGTAGAAAAAATTGTTATACCACATTATGGGCTTTCAATACTTCTTGTTCCCATGTTGACCTTGATTTGAAACTAGCAACCGCAGATCCTGATGGACCTGGTGCAAGATCTAAGACAAGAATTAATAAGTAGAAATCGAAGACAGACATCAGTAGGTGCGGTCCACTGCGCTGACCAGTTGGACTTAACCAAAATGGTATTGCAGGTTATAATTCCATGCTCCCACCTCACCCAGGGCGTAAAAAATTGAGTCAGAAATGCTGAACCGAGAAGATTCTGGTCCTTTCAAAAGTATGTAGTGCCCTACATATGAATGGCTATTTGTACCAAGCCTTGTGCGGAGCGAAAAGAATAAGAATACGTTATATATAGAAAGGGCATACCGAGCAAAATTCAAAATAATTAAAATAAAAGTTGTAATAATGATCCCAGAAGGCTGAATAGAATTTATGTTCGTAGATTTGTTTATTTCATATCATGAATTTGATCATGAATAAAATTTACAGTATTTTCATTTGAATATCTCTCATTTTTAGCTACCAAATTCCCAAGCTGGCCATAATACTGAAGTATCACAAAAGCAATACATGAATAAATGTCAAGATTTAAAAATTAAAATTCAGAGCGAAAGGTCACAAACACGAATACAGTGATACCTCGGTAGTCGAACGACTCGAAAATTCTGTGGTCGATCAAATAATGCTGTGGTACTCAAACAAAATTTGGTGCCCGAACACCCCAGCGGAGCGCAAGGCCGAGTGAGACACCGAAACATCAGTTCAAGTCAGAACATTAGCGGGATAACAAATGTTGAGAAACTTTTGTGTTTTAGTGCTTTTCCTTGCTTATTTTGCTGTTGATCATGGCTCCAATAAAAAGTAGTGATAATGGGTAGGTGAAGAGGAAAACAGTGAGAACAACTATCGGGTTGAAAAAAGAAATTATTGTGGAATAAGAGAATGATGTACGAGTGTCTGATCTCGCCTTACTGTATGGCGTGAGGAAGTCTACCATTTCAAAAATGACAAAGAAAGCTAATGTTGCGCAGGGAACAATAGCAATTATTGTTTTTTAGGTACACATTTTATCAATATTTTCGGTATTTTGGAATGCGTAAAAACGTTTTAAAATAATTACCATTGTTTCTAATGGCAATAAAGTTTCGTTACTCGGAACAAATTGAAAGGTCGAACAACAATCACATAGGAATTATGTTCGACTACTGAGGTATCATTGTAAATATATATATATATATGTAAAGTGCTGAATTGTCAGTAGACAAAAATACAGATATCATGAAACTTACTCATCAGTGGCGGTGGAGGCGTCATAACGACAGGTGGGGTCCCTGGTGACGGGAGTCTTAGTATCTGTCCTGGGGCTGCTGGGGCCTGCAGATACGAGTTAGGATGTACTTGATAAAAGGGATGACTTGGTGGTGGACCAGGCAAATAAACTACCCTTTGTGGTGATAAATCAGAGGTCTGAAACAAAATAAAAGTTGGTAAAAATCAAGTATTGAAAATGCAGAATATAAAAATTTGATATAGATAATGTATTTACATTGAAACTGGAATCATGATACAGCACCTGATTGAAAAAATATTTAAAAATAATTAAATCAGACGAAAACAATTATAAAAAAACAAAAATGTTGATGGTGCACAGGGGACAAATAACAAACAAGCATTGCTCCGAGGCTTCACGCAAAGAGGAGCTCAATAATAATCACTCAAATTCAAAATAACACAAGTTTTTTGGTTTACTGAGAGTACGTTGGGATTACTTCAGCTGTGATGTAACAAAGCATAACACTAATGACAATGTGACCAATGCATTAGCTATAGTGTGATATCAGGCATGTGATGAATGCTATGCTACATTGCAAGAATAGATATGCTGCCGTCAGTCAATGATTGGAAAACTACCTACCATGACCAATACATATCATAATCATGTCAACTAACGAAGAAATAACATCAAAAATATGTCAAATGTAGATGTATTTTCAGTTTTCATCGATTGTGTCCAGTAAGGACGATAGTACATCATACCCACGACCAGTGTTCCCTCTAAGGTGTGCGCGCGCACACAGCTTTCAGAGGCTGCGCACACGCATAGATTTACTGCGCACAGACGTATTTCGACGTAATGTAAAAATATGCTCGGTTGGCAGGTTGAGAAAGTTTGTTGTTGGCTCACCTATTACCCGGTTAGAACGCCGAAATTTCTTCATTGGTTTTTGCACAAATATTAGTCATTTCCCAAAAAGTACGCACACACCAAAATTTCTGCGCACACATACTACAAAAAATTAGAGGGAACATTGCCCACAACCTCAAAGCCCTATTGCACCCCTGGTACAAATTCTATGCCTCTCAATTCAAAACTAACTACCTATATAAAGACCCAAATTTTGAATGACGCCCTATCTCATTTAATGTGTAATGAGATTATTATATGTCCTAATACAAATATTGTAGCAATAATAACATAAAACAATTCAAAACCTCAATATTACCTGATATGGGTGAATTGCTGTTCCTGTTCCAATCTCGTGACGATCGTCACATACAATCCCAATACCTGATGACAGTAAATGATTTCTCCTTGTTATTTGATGTTTTGGGCTGCAATATAAGTTTTAATGTTATATTATTTAACTGCTGACCATTTTTTAGTCTGGGTTATAGTTCACAACTAGAGAGATCAGAAATTAAAAAAAATTAAAACTAAAATTCTCTTAAAAATTTCCCAATTTTTCAACTGATAGATTCCAACATCCTATTCCAGTACAATGACTCATAAGAATTATCAAAAATGATGATTTATTCTATTATTCATGGTTCACAAAAACTTTGTTGCTCATGAGGGAATGCAGCAAGTCTGAAGATTCAAAGCAGGACAAAAATGTACAATATATATTGATTTGTTTAGTATTAACAGTCATACATCGCGTTTCACAAAATCCATTGTGTATCTTCTCATTTGAACAAGTCAGGCTTTCTCAGATGAGCAGTTCACAACAATGATAACAATATTCATTGATTATTCATAGGATGTTACCTTGAAAAGCCATGATAGTTCTGACTAACATGTTAACACCAGGCCCGCTCCAATCAATGGTACTCCCGTAGTATGTGTACCAGGTTAGGGTTAGCCCATAATTTTATTCCGATTTTCTTTATTTTAGTTCTATTATGAGTTCGGGGACGGTCTGTGTTAGCCAAGTGAATATACCACCTGCCCATAGGTTTCAGTCCCTTTACACAACTTGATGTAAAGTAGGTGAACAAAATTACTGTAGTTACCACTATATTGGTACACATACTTCTGTAGAACCCAATCAATCACATATGAAATATAATACATATTATGTATGTAGATTCATCATTTTAAACACAAAATATTAATTAACAGCATTCTAATTATAATGAGAACGCACATTACCTATAATAACCGCTGTCACTGTCCACATCAGCTTCATCACCACCATTATTATCACTGGAATCACCACTGACTGACTGATCTGGAGCAGAGTTTGTTGCACGTTTTCGATGACGTCCTGATCTTGTTGTCTTTTTTAAGGGACTTGGTTTTTCTATTAACGACTTTGATGCTATGTCTGATGGAAAATCTGAGAAAATATATTAGGAATTGTTTATTTTGACAAATTTTAAGTCTGTGCTTTATTTTTGATCAGGCAAGCCTTCATATGAAACAAAGTATGAAGATTTTGATAGAGTTTGAAGATTGAGGTCCATCAATCAAGCATAAGAATAATGCTCAAAGTGAGGTCAAATTAACTGATACCACTCAGCAATTATTACACAGTTATATCAGATACCTTATCTTGTACATCACCCATGCTGTAAATCTTAGAAGCAAGGAAAAGTCTGATATGAAATCAGTGAAGCGTGAAACAATAACAATGAAATGAAGTGAACAGGCGGTGTTGACAGAAATTAATTGAACCAAACAATACAATATAAATCAACTGCAGTACCCAGTACATCTGACCTATATACCTACATTATATCTGTTATCTGATCATTCAAATGTATCAAAATAAAATTACAAATACAAATAAGTTCACCCACATAGAAATTTATGTTAAGCACTGGTTTATATGAAAAGATGGTAGACCATTGATCTGCGCAATATGCGCAAAATATGGTCCATTTGTTACAAAGAAAAGCGATATTTTCACAACAATAATTTAGGATAGCAATCCATATATACATTTAGTGTCAAAAAGCAAAAGATTCAGTAAAAATGAATTTAACTTTTGGAATGGGTAAGAAAAATAGAAAATTTATTTTACTGTATATCATTCACATTGCCTGTATTGCAAAGAATCTGTTGAAAATGGAATAAATACAGACAAAAATGTCACTATATCAAGCTAAACTGCTCAAGTTCTCCTTTACATCAAGCTAATTTTTAAGTCTAATTTCATTCAGTGTTCAGAACCTAGGTCATTTCGAGCATAATATTCTAGAGAGAGCATGACTTCTGTGAAAGTGTCCTAGATTGCTGAAAATTTTTGGTACAATCATACACAAACAGAATTGTTATTAGGTGAATTTTTTTCGTTTTTGTGAAAGTAATTTAGGATTAATGGATTCTGTTTTTTTTGGGCCATCCTGTATATACGGTAATTATTCAATATATTCTGAATTTGACAATTCAGAATTCTATAAAACTGATGTACAACACTACTACAGTATGTGTCATCATTTGTATCATCTTTTTAGAATATATATGTTGTTTTGTGTTTTTTGACACTTGAACTTCTGTTTGCGCATTATTGTACCCAAAAATTTTAGTTATTATAGGATTTTCTGCACTATGTTCTCTCTAGAATTCTTACATTTCAAATGACCTGGGTTCTGTTTTGTTTTTGGCAATGCTGTATATAATGAGTTTATCTTCACTAGATAAGCTATCCTATATCCTCAAGTACCTGAACTTTCATATATGCCTATACTACCTGCATTGATATGAGAAACATCTCTGCTAAACACAAACGACCTTATTAACATTAACATATAAGAATATCATAATGGCCTTCTTTACCCTATATATAACGGATTTCCTGTTGGCATATAGAATAGTAAACCTTAACTATATTATGCTTGGATATGCTAGATCAAAGAACCGAATATTGTATTTTAAACTGAAAATTGAATCTATAGTGACAATATGTTCTGGTGAAATGTTTGTTTGATATATTAATAAGCATGATTGAGAGTATGGCCATTTCAGTTGCTTTTGAATGATTTAATGTAGCGACAGTGGATCTATACCAGGGGTGCCCAACTCAAATGAGGATATGTGCCAAATTTTTCAAAAGTTGGTTGGCAATCGCTCAGTTGGCGATCTTTTTGCGGGAAGTTAATAATGATTTTGAAATTACCGAAGAGCTCGCAGCCATTGTCCCTATTAAGGGTACGACCAAAGGCATTGGTCTGTTGGGAGCTGTGATGAAAAAGATCAAGCGTCTTGGCTTTGGCAAACATTTCGGAAATAACTACTGATGACGCCCCATCAATGGTTGGGAAACAACAGTTTTTATTTTATTGGTATAATATTTGTGAAAGTTTTGCGTGCGGGTATTGTTTTTCCATTAACTTGTAGCCAGTGTATCAAATCTAGAACAAAATGCCATGTTAAGTGGCCCACGCAATTATTAGTAAACTACATGTGGCCCTTCGGCCAAAAAGGTTGGAGGACCCTGATATAAGTAATTGAGAAATTTATGAATTCTGCTTTTTGGGATTTGCTTACATCTTCTTTTTATGTAATCTAATTGTTTTGAGGTGAGGCGGCGCCTGAGGCCTCAAGAAAAGTTTAGAAGAACATATAGTGTACTGTTGGGTGTCTTTAGGCCATCGGGCGTGTGAAAGTATGAGAATAGGATTTAGGTCTAAAAAATTTGGGAAAAACAGATAAGCACATCAATAAGGTAGGTGAATCCAGTTTGGTCAAGTTTGCTTATTACATTAAAAAATACAGCAGAGCTTTCAATGTTGTTCTCAGTTGCTTAGATACCAGGTTGACAGTCAAATGAAACTTAAATATATTTATTTAAATTTCTGGAAGATGTAGCCTACTTCATGCTTAATAAGAGAAAGTAAATAATGACAAGTGTTGTAGCTAGTAAGCTTTACAACTTTTAACTTTGCTACTGTTGCTGAGAGTAAATATTGGAAACAATAGAAATACTTCGCCAGTGTTGTGTGTAGCATATAAAATTAGATAGCCAAGACCCGGGCTACCCAACTATTTTTACCGAAGATCCACATACAAAACTTCAAAATTATTGGGGTCCAGTCTTTCCAGAAATGAAATTTGAACGCGCACTTCCTTGGCCGGCTAATGATTATGCATTTAATCAAGATAGGGCTATTCGCATGGTTTATTATAGCGTTACAATTCGTTCCATATATAGTCGGGTGTAAACATGAACAAATTACAAAATAAACTTTATAACTATAAAAGTTATTTAATAAAAGGAAACCTTTACATATCCAAAGTTAATTGGTCAATTCATCAAAATCAAACCACAATTCTTGTAATTGAGTTTTTGATTTTAAGCTTTTCCCAAAACAATTATTGTGTTTCTTTAATAATTTACAATCAATAAAATGGCTTTATGCACAAAAAATCGTGAGTTCTTGTCACATAGGCCCTACATATTTCTAATATATGACATTGAATAAACTGAACACTTAGATAGCTGTCTCAATATTTCAACAAAAGTAGAAGATAGGGCTTGTATAATTGGGAGTTCTTGTAAATCAATATTTAAAAAACGCATGTGACAATTGCCATTCAAACGGACACAATTATACTCAAGTCATAAAGTATGAATGAAGTAGCTGGCTTAGTATTTATCATGCTATTTATGCTCGAAGTATTGACAAGATTGAAATTCGAGTATTTGGAGAAATTTTTCCAAGTACAAGAATGGAAATTAGGGCATATAGTCCTTAATTTTCAGTTCTTAAGAACTTCTAATTACATAGTGACATCATACAGATTTAAATAACTACAAAAACACTTGTAAGTGATTCACAGACTGGTTACAGAAATATATTTGTATTAGTGTACAGTAATGCTTTTGAACCACTTGTTTTGAACCAAATATTGGTGGGTCCATTATACACATATAATTCCACCAGAACAAAAAAAGATGAGAAACATATTAGTAGTAAGTTCCGAATTTACCCAATCAATAGCACAAAAAAGGGTACTCTCGTAGTACCGGTATGTGTATCAGTTTACTGGGGTTAGGATTAGGCCATAATTTTATTCTGATTTTCCTTATTTTATTTCTATTACGAGTTTGGGGACTGTCTGTGTTAGCCAAGTGAACATACCCCATACATATAGGTTTCAGTTCCTTTACACAACTTGACGTAAATTAGTCGAACAAAATTAGTTACCTCCATATTGGTACACATACTTTTGGAGCGCCGAAAATAATGAAGCTTGAATAGGAAAAATAGAAAACAATTGTTTGGAATTCATTACTTTGCATACAAACTGAGATTCAATTAAAATCCCCTTTCATACAATGTGTTGAAAATTTATTCAAATAATACAAAAATCCCAGTGGCATCATTTCCATGTTTCCTACATTTCTATGCTAAAACCTATTCAATAAAACCCTATAGTTATACCATAGCTACAAAACTGCTGATTAGAAGAAACTATAAATATAATATAATACATAATAGTAGGACTAGCAGCACAAAGATATGACATGAAGTACAGTTAAGTCAACTTTTATTGTGTACATTCGAATCAATCAGCAAAAAATGTAACACTTCGATAGGTCCAAAAAAAATAAGAAAAATAAAAAAGTAATGGCCTTCAAAGACACGATTCCATTTACCGATTAAAATTGGGAAGTGATTGATCAAGACCAGGTAAAGAGAAAAGTCTTATTGTCTCAATAACAATATGAACAATCGATTGAATTAAGTTATTCTAAGTTAACCTTGTGTAAATTATCACACAATTTGTGCAGCATTGCTGGAATAACTTTAAACTAATAAAAACTTTTCTATATGTAATTTCCACAACGCTCTTCTCAATACCCTACATAAAGTCCCTTCAATTTCAACTTAGTCATTCAATTTCTGAAAAGTCATCTATCTATGGGAATTTTACATCTGTTAATAACTGTATAGGTAAGGGTTCAATGTAGGTCACTCTTATCACCAAATGCTCATTCTATGTTTGGTAATCGAATAAATAAAGTATATACCGTATACGGCAATACTGGTAGGAATGTTTCAAACTTGAAAACCTGAAGTTTCTGCCACTGTGAGATGAGTCCTTCCTTGTTTGATCATTAGGAATTAGTAAATTAAATGGATCAAAATTGATCAAAAAATGAGATAAAAACTTTACTTCTGGGCTTACAAACAAGCCTGATTGGATAATTTGAATCATTTTGATATTATTGAGTAGCAAATAACTGTATACTCAAATATGATTATAGTGATATTTCAATAACTGTGAACTTATAGTAAATTCGTTGAATTTTTTGCACAGTACAATGTCAGGTTCTGAAACTTATCATAAGATGTTTATACACCAAAATCCAACATGGTCCATCTATTTAATATGGTACCTGATTAACACTCATTAATAACTAAATTTATTTCAATTTTTTCACAAAACTATTTGAAACCGAATGCGATTAGCCATTGAATAAAAAGTTTCTCAAACACTTGGTTACTATGAGGAAAATTAATTAATTAATAATGACAAAATAGAGAGTTTTGATTATTGCTGTTTTAAGTTTTAATTATTCAGCAATCGATACAATGATGATCAATCATTGCTACATTATAAAAGCATAGTTGATAACATTTGTAGTTTTTTTATGAGATATTTTCACGTCTTTTTGTGAACAACGATCTTTACAAACAGCTCTCGATATGAAAGAACTATTTTTACAAGAACAGATGTAGGCTGCCATTGCCTATCCATGTTAACTACATGCTGGGTGAAGTGGTGGGTATAGGGTTTTGAATCCAGGGTCAACAACTTACCAGTCTGCTGCATGTTATCCACCATTTCATTGTCATCCTCTGTTTCATTTTCAACTTTTTTTTTAGGAATTTCCATCTGAATACCGACGCTTCTTTTCTTACCCTGAGATTTATTTCGTTCACCCTAAAGAAAGAAAAGATGCCAATATACAGCAAAACTGAATGCCTATTTTGATATCGAAATCCATGGCAAATGGCCAACAGGATTTCAAATATTTAAAACACAACTTAATATTAAAAAACACTGTAATCAATGCCTATTTTGATATCAAAATCCATAGACAATGGCCAACAGGATTTTGAATATTCAAACCCAAATTAATATGGAAAAACACAATGACACAAAAACACAATTTTATTGACAATCGATTAAGTATTATTTTCTCCAGGGCATCATAAAAATAATCATGTTTCACCCTTTCAATGACCAGTAAATGCAATTATCCATATATTAAAAACTGTGATAAATTTACTGGGCGATTCTCTGATAGTTTTACAGTATTTTCAACAACACTGATGCAGTAGAAAGTGGAAGCTGAGAGAAAACTTGTATAATAACAAATTTTATGAGTACCGGTAATAAAAATATAAAAAAAAATTTTCTTCCCACATCAAAAATCTTGGCGGCGAGGTATATTGATTGCAGTATAAATAAGAAACTATATTGAAAAAATAAGATTATTAAAGATAATTCTATTATTACCATCATATGATGTCAATGAGTGAATCTTCTGTGTTCATTGTCGTATGAATATTGTGAAAAAAGTGGGCAAAAACAATAAGAATGACTAAGAGTTTCAATACAGCATTATAATAAAGCAATATTATTCTAATATACTTGTATTAAAATAATGCTGTTAATCTCATTGTCATATAATGAATAGGCCTACTACATTCCCAGTTTCGATTCGAAAAACATCTATCATAAAATAATACTATTAGGCTTATCCAAAAATTAATTCCATCAAAAATTACTTTACTTTTTAATATACAACTGCATGACAGACATTTGCGACTACACTATTAATCATAACAAAACTAGTGAATTACGCTGAAATCCGTTGTAAAAATAATTTGGGACATAAAGTGAGGAATGCTTTTTATTAGAAAGTAAGTTTAATATTGATTATTGGAAACTGATTGCCTGAGGGAGTCTGATTTGGGTCTGATTTTTTGATTACAGAAATACATTTGTGTTAGTGTGCAGCAGATATCCTGAATTACATAGTATGGTATTTTTATTCCTGATCATTGAGGAATGATTGGGAGATAGTCTCGCGCAACCTCTCCTGATAATTAATATTAGGCTACAACTTAAAATTACATTTATCACAAATATTACACTATATGTATCTAATTTTCATAAAAAAACTAGAAAATAAACTTACTAATTTTCTTCCACTGCTTTCTCTTTTGTGTTGATGAGGAGTTCTAGGTCTTGGATAAAGTAGTTGCTGAGTTGTTGCATTCGCATGATACTGTTGATGATCTAAAATTAATATTTTTTCATATGATGTTCTTCACACCTTTTACTATGATGAAGTCTTGCATGAGCAAAAAATATGAATTGAATATTCTATCATTCACATTAATAAATATAATATATATTAGGAAGGGTAATCGAAATGTATCAATATAAAAATTTAATTTTGACTTGGCAACAAAAAGCCGCTAAGTCTTGCTAGTAACTGTAAGATGTGGAAAAACAAGTACAATTATGTTAATCTCATACTTTTATATGTAGACTATATTTTTTATTCAATGTTTACTCGTGTCTCTTGTTCTGAACAAGGCACTGCACGAGAATATCGGTCAGAGACTGAAGACTTATCGATCGAAAGTTATGGAATCCCCCAAAACAGCGCACTTACTCCATAGTGACACCTTGTGTCAGATCACTAATTAATTAATAACTCGCTAATTATACAACATAATTCGCCCAAAATCAATAGGCTTCTAGTCCGAGATAAGATAAATGCACATGCAAAATCTGGAGCAGATTCAATCTCGCTTTCGTGAGATATCACGTGCATCTGACAGACAAACAGACATACAGACAGACAAATACCTATCAACCTACTTACCAATTAAAATCGATAAGTAATAAGCAGTTAATGATATCTAAGATTCCCTACTTAGTTTACTACGAGGTGTTGGTCATGGGATTTGTACCTGAGATGTGTAACCTGCGATGCCAATACAGTTAAGTCAAATGCTTTCACCATTAGGCCATCACATTCTGTATTTTCAAGTTCAAACTTTTCAAATATGATAAAACCTAACAATCAAAAATACTTTAAAGAATGCCTTTGGTATCAAATAACTTATTTTATGCAAGCCATAATTCTCAGAAAACAGTAATGTAATTGATAGAATAGAACAATTATGGAGATTAAAATTGTTTTATTATGTATCTGAAAATATCTACTCACATGCAGCGGGAATGTCCTGATACTGGACTTGTCCAACAGAACCAGGCTGGTATGAATAAATTGGAGCTGTGTGAGTGGATGGTTGAGGTAGATTTGGTGGTGGAACTTGAGGGGGTGGGGTGTTGAATCTGTTTGGTGGGGGCATGTGGGGCGGAAATTGAGGATTCGGTCCTGGAGGCCATCCCCGAGCGTCTCTGTTATAGTAATTCTGATAGTCTTGTTGCTCGTTCCTGTATAGAAAACGAACTTCATTTACTAAAAAATTCGTATTGATAACTTTGACCTAACCACAGCCAGGAGGTTTGTTGAAATCACAATGGCTTCGGCTCCACAGCTATTATAAATATTTTAGTATGATGGCTACCCTGAAACATCAGCCTAAAAACAGTTTCGTGACAAGGGAACTTGAAACTTTGGTGTAATGGTTCAAAATTTAATTTCAAATAACCAAATAGGCTATAACCTATAACTAAAAATTAAAATTTGAAACAAAAAAAATTATGAGCCGAAAGCTGAGTATAAGAACATTATTATTTGTATTAAGTACTGGAAAATTGAAATGAGAAAAAATTACTAGGTGGCGATGAGCTGGAGCCACTAAAATTTCTGGTAGCTCAATCTCCATCTATTACAAGCCTGTACAACTCAAATGACGAAAAGGGCTGGACTTAGGACTATAATATTTGGTATAAGTCAAGAACAAAAAGGCTTAAGTTCCAATATGATGAACATGAACATCAGAAATAAAATGTTTGAAACTCACATCCCAAAGAATTTTTTCAGTGCAACTTGGGCCTTGGAAAACAGAATGGGCCAAAGTTCTTAATAGGGAAAAAAAAACAAAAAACAGAAAGTGCCAAAAAATATTGATCACAGAGATATTCTCATCCACATTAAATAACCAGAGCTCAGGTCTTTACTAAGTGTGAATATCTAAAAATTCAAAAATAACAAAATTCAAAATTGTTGTTTTGTGTTTTTCTCAAAACTTAAAATTGTGACTTAGGCCTGTTCCATCCTTTTTTTGCTTGGATTTATTTCTTTGTCTGTTTTTAATATTTTTTTTCCCCGTCATTATGTTTTCTTGAAAAATGCTGGAACCAAACGTTAATATAGCATGCCGCCAAGCCTTCTATACATTTGTCTCTTACAACACAAGAGATATTAGGATGTAACAAAAAATCTTAGTGCCAAATCATACGTTGAGTGCAAAAGTACCTACCGGTAGATAATATATAAGAAAATGAGTAACTTACAATGTTATTTGAATTAGCAAGTTGAACATTTAGATGAATTTATCTAGAATTAACTTATGATTGTTTTTTGGCACCAAACGATTATATATTTGTGATTTTTTAAATCACCTCGAGGGCTGAATTAAAAGCTTTCCGTGGCGAATGCTGTGCAGATCTTATCTATTATGATACTATTGGCTCCCGCTTGAACAAAATGCCTAGACTTTATTGCTCTACAGCTCCCTAGCTCCGGATCCAACTGTCTAATTTATGTTTTTTTTTTTCAGTTAGATTTTAAAAGAGTTAAAATTCATATTAGTAAATCTGCTCTAATGAAGAAGTATTAATGTAAAAAAATCCCAGATGTGAATAAAATTAAACCTTTAGTCACCTTTGATTTGAATTCAAATTTGGATCTTGTACAAAAGGGTAGCATGATGTTAGGTAATGCGGTAACGGCTGTGGGCCTTGTCCTTGTGAATACTGTTGTTGAATCATGTGTTCAGCAAACATATTTCCAACATCTGACCGAGGAATAAATGGTTCAACCTCTGCACTCAAATTTGTTGCCTAAAATTTATAACATTTGTTAAAACTTCTGTTACTTTCATAGAAGGTGCGAAATAGAACTGTAAGATTACAAAAAAGGACTCAAGCGTTGATAAGAAATGATATGCAGATGGAAAGAGAAACAAATTGATTTTGACGATTTGATAACTGATATGAAATCCAATTACAAATTGAACATGAAGATGTCGCGACTAGCAATATCTTTCAGGACTTTAAAAAAAGAGCAACATTAAAACACCTACAATTGAACAAAAATATCCTGACCAGTTACACCTCAATGATTCTTACTAAAAGTAGAATTTTGTATCACCAGTAGAGAAGCGAGACGCAATAAAAGTAGACAAAAGAACAAACAATAGTAGGCGTTTTATCGTTTGTTACTCTGACCGCAAGGTAATGTTTAGTCGCCAACCTAGGTAAGTATTGATATTTCGGTATAATTAGGGTTGTATCAGTAGTAAGTTTGAGCTATGTTTGCTGCATTGCTTCGGAAATTGTCAACACCAGTACAATTCCAACTGTGACAAAATGTTTCATAAATCCATATATATTTGTATGCTATTTTCCATCTTATGCTACCTTGTTGTCAAGGTAACAAGCAAAAAATTGTGCAATAGTACATATAACCAGATATGATGAACATTGAATTTAACTCACATGATTCATATAAACTGATTGATCCATATTGGTTACAACCAATATTGAAATTTGATTATCCAAATCTTTTCATATCTCAAAAGACAGGCAAGTCAAGTTTGTTGTACTTACATTACTATAAGCTATGATTCACTTTTTTCATTCATGCTAGTCTGTATTTAACATAAATCATTAGCTACTAACAAAATGACTAGCAAGCAATGGTTAAATGACTGAACCACACTACTACAAAAAATCGGTAAAGCAATATCACCGCAAAACATAAGCACAATCTTAAAACGTCAAGATTGGATTTCTCAGAAACAAAAAATACGATTTAGGGAGGGGGAAAAAATTTCACCATAGCATTCCAGAGTTTTTAGCAAAAAAACAACAGCAAAAATTTTTGTCATGTGACATCCGCGATAAATTCAGATTGTTATCGAGACAAGCTTGGGGCAATCTGACTCATCCGCCATCGTGTCAGACGCTCCCTCGTTTTAGAGACAAATGGAGTGTTTGTTATATTGAACCAAATATGTTGGGACATCTTGGAATTAGGTTTACAAGTTTCATTTGAAAAAATATCATTTCAACCAAGCAATTAAAATCTTGAAGAGCAATCGAATAAGCTTGAGAAAATAGAGAACTAATCAAATCATGATTTATTTTACTTTCCTGCAATATCAAATTCAAACTTGGTGAAAAATATATTGACTTATATTTTTATGTTCTTTTGTTGAATAGGACCTAGACTAATTCAGAATAGAATATATTTGATATTTCATAATTAAAAATATGATTTCAAATGTGTTTGGGATATTTCTGGAGTTCCAGACTAGGGTGGCTTACCCACTTTGCGGCCACGACCTATTTGCGACCATCAACTTCATCGATTAAATTAATGCCGAAAAAATTAACGAACCGCGACGATATTTCTCACGCATTATCGTTCACTTATCCCTCGAAGCTCTGCGAAATTACACTAAAATGCGGCCACAAACAAAAAAGTTACGACCGAAAACCCGACCGAAGAAAAAAAACGGACCATTTTTCCATGTCGCCAACTACCTATTGTTCCTTTGAAAAAGCTTGAAAATCCACACAAATATAAGAGATAAAAAGATGAAACTTGGCAGGTGGCTAGAGTTGTGTTTCTTTTAACCATCTTCAAAGTTTCGCGTTCCCACATTTAAAGGAGAGGGGATAGGAGGGTGCGCATCTCCAATACGTCGATAATATCTTTGTCAACCAATTTGCGACCACCGTGTTTTAGTCTGTTTGATCGCTGTGATGCGATGTTTTGTTTTTAATTTGACAAGTTTTGTTCGAAATAACGGTGTTCTTAAAATATATGACGGTCAGAAATGCAATTAGAAGCCCATTTTTTTCACGCATGGCTGCGTATGCCCTAGTCTCGACGCAGCAGAAACAATGTTCAAGGCTTGAAATCCGTGGTCGCACACTGGTCGTTCGGTCGCAAATACGTCTTCAGAGTGTCATACTTTGGTGGTTTGTATAGCTTTAACCCCTGGTCGTAGAAAGTTAATTCGAGTTTTAGCGTGTAGAATAAATGCCAATGCACCTACCGTGAAAAAATTAACGGGTTAGAAATATTGGTTTTTGTTTTATAGCGGTTTGAATGAAATCGTCCGCAGACTGGCTACACCACCCTATCATCCATTTTATTTTTATTTAAAATGCTTTATTCCTTAGTTAAAGATTCCTATTTTTAAGTTTTACAGTCATCGATTTCTGGATTTGAATTATTGGTCTTTTTTCACTTGTAATCGATTTGGAACATCAAAAGGTCGTTACTAAAAACTTCAAAACATTCAGTTTTATGTACGTAATGCATACCAGTACGGTACCGGTACCGGTATTGACTGCAGAACTATCTGACTATGGATGAAAAAATGTCAGATCAAGGATAAAAATCCAGCTGCTGAGCTAGCGTTACTGCGTTAGTGAAATTAGACCCAATAGTTCACAATATCGGCACTTCATTTTCCAATATTAATTAGTTTACTGCACTACGGGGTTACCGGTGAGCCGGTATTAAACCGAATGCCTCAAATTCAGAAAATTGTGGTTGCGAAGTACTGAAGTACCGGTACCGTATCATCAGAAACATCTGAACATACCGACCGTACCCGTACCGTATTTGACAATGATAAAAAATGTATTATAGACTAACTCAAGTTCTGACCGTCTGAGGTTACCGGTTTAAAATCTGTTAAAACAGTTAATATGAACTAGTTGTTGACTAATTTCGTCGATGACATGTAATGCCAAGGCCTACTTAAACCCTGTGGTACGTTATCGCAAATGTCTGTAATTCACCCATAGCAGAATAAACCCGTAAATCATTCTCCACAAATAAAAACAAGAAATGTGAGTGGTAGTCGGAATTAAAATATGGGAATATACCGTATCCGGAAATTTTCTAGCTGTCAGTGTTATGATTACTTGGATTGAAAATCACGAAAGAAAAACATTCCTCTGATAAAAAATATCGACAATGAAAAAATAGTGCTATATATCTTTTAGCTGTTTTTGTCGTTGTTTCATTTGCATGTATATAACTAAAGCAAGACATAAATCGCTCACCGATATGATCATGTGACTTGATAAAAACAGTTTTTTGACTCACTCGACAGAGACTTCGGGAAGGGGAATGTTAACCCGCGCAACTAACTTGTATCAACGACAAAACTTCCCGAAATATATATAAGATATGCTTCGTAATGTAAAAAATTGCTGCCTAATGAGAAAATAGAAAATGGTCAAAAGGATTGTACAAGAACATGAATAATTGGTTTGTACCGTATGAAAGATGTATCGTAAATATATACTACTACTAGCTAGATGTCCAACTCCGCTCGCCGTATAATAAACAAACGAAGGCGATGTTGCAGCTCCAAGTGGCGGGCGTCACGGTCGGTTTAGTTCTGAGAAGATGCTTAGGATAGGATAGGATTTACATATTTATCCCGGGGGAGAGGAAAGCCGATAAGACGGCTTATCCATATGGCGAACCACGGCCTCTCGTCCGGTTACCATTCCAAGTCGGGTATGGGATTAGTTATATCAATCAATCAATCAATCATTTATTCGTCGTCACAAAAACATCAAATGCACAAAAAATTGGTACAATAAATAAATATAATAATAATGATATTTGTGCGACAGGAGTCGCGAGGGACCATATTAGGTCTTCAAGCAGCGACACCTAAAGCGCTGTTACTGGTTCAGTGTAAAAAAATAACTACATTTGCTACAAACATTGACTATGCAATAGTCGTTATGATGAACTATTTTGAATCATTGAAAAAATTCGCAGCAAACGCAACTTTACTAAAATCATATAATAGAGAAAAAAAAAGAAAAACAACTCAACTATAAATTTATAAAAAAGGCATATTTGAATAAATGTATATAAGTTACATAAAAGACAAACGACAAGCGAGGGGAAAATGGTTAGACCAAAGACAAAATTGTAAGTGATTAATTGAATAGAAGTTGGTAAGCTCTAATAAATCATAAAACGTTGATATGTATATATATATATACAATACGCTCCACAGCAAGTGGGCATAAAATTTACGAAAGAATGGTAGGCATATGCTTGCTCAATAAATTAAAATATAACGAATTTTGGCATTTTAGTGTAGAGGTTGCACCAAGGTTGGTAAAGTTAAAGTACCGGGTACTTTAGAAATAGACTCCTTACACCTATAGTTCCTCCGGCTTTTTGGGCAGCCATGGCGACAGTCTACAAATGCGACTGCTGAGCTATGGACAGAAGATGGCGAATCATACTGAATACTCCAATCAATGGCTGATGGAAGAGAGATAATAACTAATATATTTACTTTTTAGATATAATTTGAAACCGTAATAGCCTAAAGATTTAATGGTACTTGGTAAGGCATTCCACAGTTTCACACCCGTGTATTTTATGGATTTCTGTGTCCTGCTTGATGAATATCTTGGGACATACCGGTAATATGAACTTGACGAAGCTGATCTAGTAGAGTATGAATGGATATTACTCTGCATTCTGAAAATTCCCGCGAATGCCATGGGAAGCTTGTTATCGAAGTACTGGTGCATGAGTTTCAGTATCTCAAATTCATGGATATGACCAAGCTTAATAATTCGACACCTGTGGTACAAAGGATCTAGTCTAGATCGGAAAGGTGCACTACATATGGCTCTAATTGCTTTGTTTTGCAAAACTTCTAATCTGTGGAGTAGAGTCGATGACGCACTACCCCAAGTTATAATGCCATACTGCAGATACGACTGGAAAAGAGAAAAATAAACCAATCGGAGAGCTGGCATGGTGAGGAATTTTCTTAGTTTAAATAATAAACCTGTTGCACTTGACAACTTTCCAGCAATGTAATTAATGTGTGATGTCCATTTCAATTGGTCATCAATGTGGATACCTAGGTATTTGTATGAGTTGACATTTTCAAGTGGAACCTTGTCAATATTAATTTGAAGCCGAATTTTATTTTTTTCATTTATCCTGGGACTAATTAATAAGCATTTTGATTTTTCAATATTTATGGTGAGTTTATTTATGGTCATCCAGGTTGCAATTTTTTGCATTTCAGAATTCATCCGCAATTCCAAGTCGTTTGGCGAAGCTGAACTTCCAAACAAACCGGTATCGTCAGCGAAGAGTTTGACAAGTAATTTAGTGGCATGAGGAAGGTCATTGACAAATAGAATAAACATTATCGGTCCAATGATCGATCCTTGTGGAATTCCGCATTGTACAGTAGAGAGTTTGGAGCAATTCGAACCAAATTTAACACATTGCTGACGTGAACTCAAATAGCTCCTGAAAAAAGTCAACGCGTGACCGCGAATACCATAGTGGCTCATCTTTCTTATTAGAATGTTATGGTCGACAGTGTCGAACGCCTTTTTGAGGTCAAGGAAAATAGCACTAATGTATTCCTTTCTCTCTATCTTGTCATAAATATGAGTCACCATATCAAGCATTGCATGGTTAGTAGAATGCTTTTTTTGAAATCCAAACTGTGATTTGTTTATGATGCTATGTTGGTCTATAAATTGGATTAGCCTACTATGTATAATTTTTTCAAAAACTATAGTCATCGTAGAAAGAACCGATATTGGGCGATAATTCGATGCACATTCTTTATCTCCTGT